GGATCGGGCCAGATGTACTGGCTCTGCTGAAGCGACAGGTAGAGAGCGAAAGGGAATGTGAGGATGACAAGGATGACAAGGGTAAGGTCGGGGTAAGGGTATGACGCGAGGGCTGATACGAGGAGGATTAGGAGAAAAATGGTAGGGGCCCAAGCGTCTAGATGTTCTTGTAACAAACCGAGGCTTTATAACGAATCCATAGTCTCTCTGGACTCTCTTCGTCTTCTATTTCCTCAACCATCGCCCTCTTCATCGACATATCTTCTTCTTCCTCGTCTTCATCGTCCGTAGGAATTAGATCAGGTACATCATCTATCTTTTTTTGTTCTTTTTTCTTTTCTTTCTTTTTTTGTCTTTTTTCTTTTTTTGTTTCACATTTTACAGGGCATCAAGAAAGTGCAAATCGTCCTGCATTCCAGTCAATCTCTGGATTATGATATCTCAGCCAATCTATGCCGATAATAACATCATCGCTTCCTAAGTCTGTAACCATGAAGGCTGCTTTCTCTTCTTCATGATCACCAATCTTTAGACCTAGTTCTGCAAAATGAGTCATCGATCCAGCGGCATTTAGCGATCCATCAATGTTCCTGACTGAAATAGGCCTTAATAATTTACGGCATTTCACACTGTTCTTCTCAACAAACTTCTCACTGATAAATAATGTTGATGCACTGCAATCCACAAGTGCTTTTACGTCTGCTTGTCGGTTCTTTCCTTTCAACGTTATCGGAATATAAAAATGCTCAGATTTGGATCTAATATGTACTTCTGATACATCTTGAAACGTAGAAAGAATAGAGAAACGATTGTTCGGGTCTAGGTCTGCTGACTTTGACTTCAACCCCTTTAAAAATCCTTGCCTTTGTTAGAAGCGATCCAATCTGTGAACCACTTCGGCGCAGAGTTTTCTTCGACAACTGCAGCCGCTTTGACTTGTGCTTTTGGCGCACCTTTACAGTTTCTTGCTATGTGGCCTTGTTCTCCACAGCGGTAGCAGGTGAAAGCACCAGGCTTTCCTTGGGGTTTGGGAGATCCCCTCTGCTTGTCAGAGTCCACATCCATAGCGTCACTGTCTTTGCTAGGACCAGCCTGCCTTTGATTATTGAAGGTTTTGGTTTCCTTGTTAGGGGTCCACCAATTACTCTTCTTCTTCTCAGCATCTAGCTCTTCGTAGTTACGTCCAATCTGTATGGAGTAATCGATGAGCTTCTTGAGGGTGTCTTTCTCAGACGCTGGGATATGAGCGAGTTGCTCCTTGATCCGGGTTTGTAGACCAGATCGGAATTTGAGGCAGGAGGTCATAGTCGGAATATTTGGTGAGTGCAGCCTTCTGTTTGAAAGCTGCTGCGTATTCGGGCACTGATGAAGATCCTTGCTTCAGGGTTTCCAACTCCCTGACAGCCTTTCCTTCTCTGTCGTCTTGTCCCCACATGGTCTCGAATTCTGCTGACCAGTCCTCAAAGGATATTGGCTTGGTGTCAAGCTCAATAACAGTATTTCTGCGCCCATTTAGCAGCAGATCCTTTAAGGAAAGACAGGGCAGTTGTAATCTTCTGCCTGTCCGTGATCAATGGCCACTGTGACATATATAATGCCAACTGAGTAGCATAGACTTCTACGGAGATCGAATCTTTGTCTCCTGTGAATTCTGTGGGCTTCGACAATTTGACTTGCGAAGTGTTCGGGGATTGTGCGAATCTTTCCAGCTTCTTCTTCAGTTCCTCTATTTGCGCATTTTGCGTTCTGAGTTGAAGCTCTTGAGTCGCGTTCTGTGCTCAAAGTGTGTTGTTATGGTTTAGGAGTTCTTGTGTCCTAACGTACAGGTCGTGTGTTGCCATGGTGATGGCATTCTGTACATAATTGGTGAATTCCACTGGCATAGCTATGCCTTGTGGTTGTGGTCCCTGAGGTCCTTGTTCTTGGGGTTCTTGGGGGTTCTCAGGTCCCATTTCTGTTTCGTTAACTTCAGCCATAGTGCCAGGTGCGTTCTGGAATCCGATTCACTAATGACTGTTGAAGAGCGGGTCGTAACGGCTCTTCCGGATAGGAAAGATGATGAAAAGGGGAGAGGGAAAAAGGATACATAAATGGAAAGCTAAAGGGGTCCCCAGTACTAACTGGATCAACCTCGTCCTTTAGGGTCAAAGGGTTCTTTAGTCAACCCGACTGACACTTCCCTAATTACTAACTAGAAAGAGATACGTAAAACTATGCTTTGTTAAGTGGGAAAAACACTGTGTGCTTCGTGTGTGCTACTTCTCAGTCACCGAAAGGGTACAGGTCTAGGACAAGTTATCACTCTTCCAGCCGAAGCTTACAAGTGCAAGTCTCACTAGAATCCCGTATCTAAATCCTCGTGGTAACGATGGTAGGACTATCCGCAGATGCGACAGTTCCACTAGACTTAATGAAAGGTTCTACGTGCATGTGAAGAAAGATGTAGGTATGAAAGAAACTATAGTAACGTTGAGCAGGCAGGGTCTTGGGCCAGCACTCAAAGTTGTAGTGAGATGCCTAATGTCGTCAACACCTCCGTATACTGGCGGCTGCAATGTAAGGCAGGGCCTGGTATAGGACTACTAACTAATAAAGGCTATTCGTAGAAAAGCTCAAGCGAGCAAAAGGATGGGTTTCAGAAAAATGATCGCGGTTGTTTAGACCGGGCAATGGAAAACGTGTAATGGCTATCTAAGTGGTTTGTTGGCGATGTGCTCAACGAATCACCTAGAGAGAAATGATGCGAGCAGTATGCAAGAGTCGGAGTCTCCTATAGTTCAAACCTAATGTCACAACCCAATAACAAATTAACGCTGGGCAGAGACTAGGACTCGGACTAAGGTTATCACAACAATGAAAAGAGGAGCAGGTACGTCTTGGATTGCTACAGTTGTAGATACAAGAGGTTTGAACTAGAGAACTATTGACCAAGACATGCTACCTATATACAACTATTGAAATGGAGATTGAAACTGAGATATAACTACTAGCCAATCATAAAAAGGAAAAGGGAATTGTACCATAGAACGTCGTAGAATATTAAAGAAGTATCACGTGACCATATCTTATCTTATCGTATCTAATCTAATCTATTCACAATCAAAGAACTCGTCTTCTTCATCAGTCACATCAAAGACACGTGTCGTGGGCGCTAAAGGTATTTCGGGAATGATAGATGCTTTCAGGGTAGGGTTAGGGTTTGACTTAGGCGCTGTGTATTGGCGCTTAGGAAGATTCAAGAAAGAATAATGGTTTGTTAAAGGTACTCGTGACATGCGTTCACAACTGAAACTGCTCAGTTATATTGGGAATATCTTGCTAAGGATAAAGTTGGCAGAAAGTCAGTAGCGATGTATCAGCAAAAACGGCTGTGGAAATTACACAATTCAGATACGAATGATTCATTGAGTAAACTACCCCTCATTCCTGGTATGCCTGTTATGATTACAGAAAACACGGCAACGAGTTGTAAGATTGTGAACAGTAGCTGAGGTATACTGAAATCTATCACATATGAAGAAGACGAAAATCAGTGTCGCTTTGCTATCTGCGCTTTAGTTGAAATAAAGAATAGTACATTGCATGTCACTGGTTTAAATGACGGAGTGGTTCCTATCTTACCCATGAATAGTAGTTTTCATTTTCCTATAGGTGAAAAAACTGTAAGTGTATGACGAACTCAGTTGCCCATATTGCCAGGTTGGGCCTTTACAGATTTCAAAGTCCAGGGTAGTTATTTACCCAAAGTCATTGTCGACTTGACAGCTACACGATCACTACAAAGTATATATGTAATGTTATCGCGAGCATCGAAATTAGATAATGTAGCAATCTTACGGTGGTTTTCTTCCTGGGCTCTGCATGGAGATTTGCAGGGAGATGCACGTGAAGAGATGCTTCGACTGCAAAATGTAGAAGTCAGGACTCGTGCTCAATATTTAGAAAAACATGAGATTAAAAAATAACTGATGGCGAAGCACAATGTCGCAGTGTCTGGTGAGTTTAAGTATGAAGTCTCATTATGCTACTGAAAACTCCGATCGAATTTGGATGATTAGAGTTACGGAAATCACTTACCTAAGTGCATCCATATTGCCATTACCGGTGCCATTACATTGATTATTTCTTCCAGTCTTACCTCTCTCGCTGCTGTCATGAAATGGACCGAGATATCCTGAGGCTATTAAATATTTATGGAAATATAGGGGCTTTTATTTTAGGTGTGTGTTATGCACATAATATCTGAAAAACTAATATCATGAATAGTTTTTCATCCTACCCAAGGCCGCCCGCAATTTCATATAATCACAGCTGCCGTGTTAAATCATACAGAATATGATGTAGCCAAAACAGAGCGAGAAGGAGGATTATTATGCGTCTCTAAAGACATCAAGGATAAACCGGCTTTGTTCGCTAGTGAGGCTTGTCTATTATAACTCCTAATTACATAATAACCACAAAAAGACACAGTGAATTCTATTCTCAACGACAGGAGCATAAACATAATCTATAGTGAGAGTACCAAAGTTGCTGATGAGCTTGTTGTGGAAGCAACATTGCTCCCATATCATCCATTTCAATCAGGAGGGGGACAATTGTTTAGGTTGATGCTATGCGAGGTTTTGGCTAACGGTGATTACGATAGCTCTATTAACTAACGTAAATGTCTCAGAGAAACTGAGTCTCTTTTGGTGTGTAATATGATTGAATTATTTAGATATAGAGGCCAACGCAGTGAGAAAAGAGCACTTTGCAGTCAATATATTGGCACTGTGGATTCAGTCGCGCATGTGAATCACATTACCTGTCACATGATTCAATTTCACTATGATGATATGTTCAACGGTCGATGTCTTGTTGACATTCATCTATCCAGTCATTATTCTTTGTACAATGTTGTTCTTAGCTGGTCAGTAACTCAATAATATATTTTTAAATGACACAAACAATGTTTCGCAGCTCACGACTCTTTAATGGCCTATGAATTATGGCTGAAAGTGATGACCGACAAAATTAGGAGATTACTATTCCCATCTTCACTTCAAGAGATGGCAGCATGGGCAGATATCTACAAAGATGAAGAGAAACATGATAAATCAAGAAACAACATCCTCATCTACAAGCATGTCTCTGAAAATGACACAACCATGGTCTTTCCAGTTGTGATCCGGCTGCATGGCATTTTAGAGCAATTTCGTGTGGACCACTTCGGCAATTGGTCTAGGTAAGTCTAAAATCAAAGACACAGTCCATACTGACAAGACTAATAAGAATTCACAGTAAAGTCGATGATGTTCAGCGAGTGGTTCAATACATCCATCTTTCACCTGGAGGACATGAAGCTGCTTGGAATGCAACAATTGCCTCCCTCAACCTTGCTAACGACTATGTGAGCAGGCGGTTGGGTATACTTATGCAAGAAATTGTAAACAATGGGTGTATGTACTTGCAGAGACGTGTATTTTATAAGGTAAGTGATCCCACTGTTCGGAAGATAATTTTACATGTGAAGTTAGAGAGACACCACAAGAGCATCTAAAGAACCTCGCCTCAAACCAGAAGATGATCCGGCAGAAAACTTTTATCGCATTCAAGAATGGTGGAGTGTTGCACAAGCATTGCAACTGGCAGAGTTGACTGCAGAGGGTAAAAAGGTACCAATCAATGCCATCCTACTGACTGAAGGAGATTTTGTTGAAGTCAGTGTCAAACTTGACTTTGTGGTGAATAGAAATAGGAACACAAGGACCACCATCAAGTGTTTCCTTACATGCACTTACATGGTGCGAATGATGCCCGCAAGGGAAGTCCAAAATCAAGAACTGGTAGGTAACAATACTTGTAAATATTAAACGATGCTAAAATAACAACATCTAGGACAATAAGAGAGCAACTCAGAAGCGCGTGCGAAGTCCTGCATCCATTGAGAAACTCAAAAAGAGATTCCACACCACTCTAGACTTCAATGAGGATTAAAAGAGCAAAAGGTTCGAACACATTTGTATTTGTTTAGCCAATTCTTTAGGAGACCCGGGTCGATTAAAAATAGGGTCTTCACTCTTTATCAACAACCACTCTGTTCACTATGGTTAAAAGTAAAAACAACACGATGCTAGACAAAGACAACTCGCCAGAGACTCATCCGCACAAAAGGACAAGAGTGAATGACGTTGGTAAGATGTTCATATATCATTATTTAGTGAAACTAAGCAAATTTGTAATAGAGAATACACCAGCGATTGAAGACAATGTCGACAGTGGACAAGTCACTATCAACAATAGTGTAGCGACAGGAAGTGCCACCAATAGCACTACTAAGTTAAGTGAAAATGCATCAATGGATGTGCACACCGATACTCTACCTACTGCACCAAAACAAGCTTTGGGTGCAAGCCAAGCGACATTAGCTGTCAAAACTGTGATCCCTCACCCGACCAAACAAATAATAGATGATAGTGAAGTAGAGGAATACAGTGATGCTTTGAAATTGTAAGTACCTTCGACGTAAACAACTTGGATCAGTTACTTATATCATTCTATCTGTTCTATATAGACGTCTTGAAAAGCTATCAGAATACATGAACCCGAAAGCAAACATCTATGCGCTTGGCAAACTCCTTCCAACAGCAACCTGGGGACCCTATAGGCCAGTCAATGATCGCAGCAAGATATTGTGTGATCCTGCTACTGGAGAATCTCTCACTATCTGGATTGTTGGGAGAATTGCAAAGATGTGGTTCACAAAGCAAGGACGTCCCGAAAGTCAAGCGTCTATCACTATCTTGCCTCTGTCACAGAGTTTGGTGAGGCAAAGCAGCTTATTACTGGCCAAGTTTTCGAACCCGGCCTTGAGTGAGTGATCCTCAATAGATATCAATCCTAACTAACGTGTTTATAGGTTTGAATCAACAGAAGGTAGACATTATTTGAGCTATGAAGTGGCAGAACACTAAAGCAGGGGATATGGTAACTGAAGTAAGTACTGAAAACACATCATCATGTAACACAGTACTAACACTTCCTAAAAGCCTATTCTCTTCGATGTGATATATGATGCGAGAGCCGAAGGGTCATTAAAGACTTACACTGAAAGACCTCTTTGGAACCTCGCCGATTTAAAGCCTGGAGATCTCATACTCTTAGAGATGAGAATGACACGCTATTCAAAGAAGGGTGAGGATAGTAAGTGGCATTCCTGTGCGCAATATGAGATGATTGCCATCTCACTCTTACACATGGTGGATCTGCCTGAAGATGACAGTCAGGGAATGCAGCAGATAGATGGATTAGCTATCTAGTACAATGTGATAAGTACGAACAGGTCAAAGTAACCTACGCAAAACTATACTACAATGATGGATCTGATTCTGTGTCACCATAACATGTGTATCATGGTCTGACATAATCATATCACATGAAATATTTCTGTAAGCAAAACATATGGAGAATGCCGAAGTCACGGATATTATGACATCATATTACAGTGCCACACAAAAGCAGTGACAGTTTCATGACATCATTACAACGCGACCTTTGCATACAAACTTTACATAGACATCTATACTGTACACTACCAATAACATGGAAGAATCACCTACACAAGCAGCTCTGCTACAAGCTATAAGAGTGATTACAAACAACAAACAACTCTCTCATAGAGAAGTATACAAAGAAGTGAAGGCGCAGAATCCTTTATGGTATATTAGTCTAAAGGTTAGCGATTACACCACACAAAAATCAAGGGAACTTACAGAGTCAAAGAGAGTCAAAAAAATTCATAAAGCTGCTACCAATGTAAAGCATCCCTGTATTGCCATCAAAATATCCAGCAACATCTCACTCTCAACCAGTATTACCAAAGGACTTCTACTCCTGCTTGCAAACCTAGAACCAATTCAACAGCCGTGCCCTACATCAAATATAGAGGCCTTACAACTTATTGAGGATCATCTGTACCCGGGTGTATGTCAGAGTCCCCTAGAGTTATTTCTGAAAGGACAAGACATCACTGATTGGTATTACTAGATCTATTTCACCGCCATGCAACATGATGAACGTCTGTACCATCCCATACTACTAGAAATATTCGGAAAGAAGAAATGTCCTCGTGGAGACATAATTGTTGTTAAGAACGGCTACAATTTCATCGCAAATGCACCTGACTTTGACATCGATGTCAATGAATTAGGAAGAACACTATGGTGGTACCTTAAAAGTGGAAGAGAACCTGTCACCGAAGCGAGCGAGAGACGCTTAATGCATTACATAGATCAATCTGTGTAAAATAACAATCAATAGCGGTGTACATAATAGAACCATAGAATAGCTGAAAGCCATGGAAGCATCGTGAATAACCCATGAGACATAATAAAAACCCTTGCTCTCACAAACCGCACAAAAAGCAACAAAACTCAGTCGGAGGGCCACAATGACACCGAAAGACTGATCCAGGAATATGAGATACCATATAAGAGAACTATGACAAATAGACAGACCTCGATAAGACAGCATCCATAAGACCTTTTTCCTCCAAAGACATCGACTGTATTTTCATACGATTGTGGCCTAGATGCTTCAATACCAAAATATCTCCATACCACTGACCACAACCGACGGCAGCAGAACAAACTAGTGCTTCATTGACAGGCAACACAGGATTGCGCTCCAAGAACAAAACACTGTAAGCGTCAGGAAAGATAGAGGTCGCTGAATCAGGAAAGCCATCGAGGAATATAGTGCATGGAGCGATGTCTGCAGAAAGTCCATGACTTCCTCCGCCAATCCACATATAAGCACGGACAATGCCATCCAAATCTTCAGGAATGTAGGTGAGGATAGCTTCCTCGCACGCTGTACCATAGAACAATGCCCTATGAAATGTATAACCTGTCTAAACACAATATAAGCAAACAGATAAAATACACTGAGGAAGGATTTACTGGCTGATAAGCAAGCATACGATTCTCGATCTGGAAAACGTCCATAGCAGAAGTTGACATGTGAGCAGACATGGCAATGAAAAGATAAAGTCAAAGACAAGTATCAAATGGTCACAAAATTGACAATCACATGCAGGTTTGCATAAGTCACATGATAAAATGACGTCAATTCACACAAGCAAACAACTGACCAACAAAATGACGACACAAACAAGTCATCCGAAAACATCATTCAATTGAAACAAACTACTCACTCAAAGCTTTACAGCATGTCCACTCAGAGCAACCTATCCGCTGAAAACTCAATCATAGGCTGCTTATTCACACCAACGGAGCCCAATGGCTTCACAGACATAACCATCAGACGTGCAGCAGATGGTACATTTACCCTTACAAGACCGCACCTGTTTTTCAGGAATATCGCAGATCTAAAAGAATATAGAATTACAACAGATGATGGAGAAGTCAAAGAGGCTTACAACATCCATATCTTATATGACAGAAAATTGCACGGAACACCGCTATGCCCTTATTTAGTTTTCAAAAGCACGAAACAAGGACAAGCACTCACCCTGCAACGGAAAGATTATATGGCAGCGACCAATGCAGTTGACAAGTAAGTGAAAAACTACACATTCTCATTCAGTACTGATCAACAAAATGATATAGAACAATGAAAAATGTACCCATCTACAAAGTTCTTGAGAGAGTAGAAGACGAGTAAATGAGAATGCATACAATGTAGAGATCATATGCACAAATGTACACATATGAAATTGTCTTGCTGTGAACTGAGACTGAGAGAACAACTCAAAAAAATGCCTCTGACGACTACGGACCTTGCCAGACCACAGTCAGGTCTAAGAGAGCAAACTGCACACGGTCAGCGCAGCTTTTCAAACCTGAAAAGCTAGGAGGAAATAACAGAGTAAAAGAAAGACTCATCTCGCAAAACATCAAGGCAAATAACCTTTCCAGGGCAGCTGATCCGCACAGTTCACATCGAAAAATCACTTGGACCTGATTCACACGCAGCATGTGTAATCTACAGATAGAAGAGCAAAAGAGTAAGAACAATGACTGATAAATAAACAAACTGCTCACCCATTGCAACAAAACTCGAATGCCAACATTGAGGAAAAGCTTCTTCGACCAGATAAGAATGTGCCGTGTGTGAACTGCTAAGAACTACAAGAAGTCAATATCCACTGTGACTACATTCAGAACCAAACCCTAGATTAGGGCCATCCTGGGACAGATCTCCAAAGATGGAAAAACCCTAACCCTAACCTCTCATGTATTACAGTGTTACAAGGTCCATCAAAATAAGTCTCCTAAGCATAATAAATAATAATATACCTCCAATCCAAATCCTGGCCACTTGCAGTAATGGTTACAGAGATGCTTTGCCTCAAAGTCATCCACCATGTTTCCATTGCCGAAAATATTGCTTCCTTCACTGACCGAGCTAGAGAAGCACAACTGGTCAATGAAGGTCACAAATCATGGTAACTGAAAATGTACACACCGGTGGGTCAAGATCTGAGGATCAGTCAGAAGCTCAATATGCTACCTTGATAATCAGAAATGAAAGCCAGACCCTCTGTCTTTGCGTACTGAATGTGCTGAGTAAATGCAAGAAAGACAGCTAGGTCATAGCCATATTCGTCCTCATCGAGTGATGGTCCATAGTCCTTGTTATGAATGAACTTCATGAATGTCTGATTGTCAGGAGTATCGGACATCATCACCCGCCCCTCAAGGAGATACCGCTGAAAACATCCCTGCCCTGACATCTGCCATGGGAGCTTGTTTAGAAGTGCCTTGAGCGGTCGATGAGTGGTGAGAAAATGCAAAAGCAATGCCTGCTTCTAAAAAACAGACGTGGGGTATTTGAAAGGGGCGGAGGACTTGGTGCGGCATTGATACAGTGATCAATGTACTCATAAGTGAAATCAAGGAGAGACTTTTCCCAGTACAACACATTACTTTCATTTAAGAGTTTTGTGTGTTCATCTGGTAGTGTGTAAGGTGAGATTTTGAGTGTGCTGGCACCAGCGGCATGAGAGGGAGGTCTATGTAACAGCCACTTGATGACAACATCCTGCTGAGCGCGTGACCCAAGGCCACTGGAGGACAGGGGAGAGATAGTGTGAGCCACCCTGGATGTGCTGTCTTAAAGGCACCAATCCCGATCATGCTGCGAAGGGGGACATCAATAGTGAGCTGTCCAATAAGTGAATTGGAGATATTGGGTTTGAATGAGCGATACTGAGGAGTCTTCAAGATATCAGCTAGTGGGTGCACAGGGATTTGATGGAATTGAATGTCCTCATTGCGCAAGTCATAAACTGAAATAAATAATCATTAGAATCCCTGCCTCAAGAACAAAGGATAAACTCACCTTTAGGTGCACGCACAGCATCTACACTACCTCCACTTTTCAAGGCCTCTCTCAAATCATTATGGTCGGGCAGGTGAAATACATCATGCACTGGCTTCTTGTGAGGAGATGACACAGTGCTATTTGTGGAGTCACTCTCCGCTCGAAAATGAGCGTGCTTTGCTGATGGACATGTGTGACTGTGCTGAGCTGTCAGACAACCGAGTAGTGGTAAGATCACGTCCTGCAGTAGATAAGGCATCCGGTCGATTATGTGCTGAGCTGTCAGACCAAGTAACAGTGGAATTACGCTCCACAGTAGATAAGGCATCTGGTCCTTCCAAGTCAGGACCAAAGGGGTCTTCATCTTGCTGTGCAGCCCATGGGTCTTCTGAGTTGGTGCCAGAAGTTCGAGGGTCTTGTTTGGTGCCAGTATTGATAAATCTGTGTCGTTGGAGCTGTTCGAGCAAAGTGTTCTGAGAAATCTATGAGTTAGCGGAGTGAAAACACATTGAATGAGCGGAATGTTACCTCTTCTTCAGTTTTGTCTAGCCATGCCTCATACTCACTCCACTGCGCTGCAGGCACAACAACCATGAGTGAGAACTGCTTGGTCTTGAAAGTTGTTGTCTTTGGTCTGCATCGAGATTGGACTAAACACTGAGATAAAAAGTACAGAATGGCAGGTAAATGTCCAGATAGGTCAACCCAGGAAGCATCCCAGACAACAAACTCTTCAGTACGCCAAGGGAATCTCTTTCCAAATGCAAGGATTTTTGGTAGAATAGTATCTAAAGTGATTGTTATAAGCCCAGGGGTATCCAAGCAAGCGTCAATGTCCTTCTTTCCTTCACAGATATTCTAATTTATGAGTGTCAGCAAAACAGCAATGAGATGGAAAGAAAACAAATGTACCCCAAAGTTAATATCATGCCCAATTTTCTTCCGTGAATTTCCCTTGTATGCAGCCAAGGGGCACAGCAATGTCTGGGCCTGAACCGCGGCCCATGTGTGCAGTGCTATTGGAGGGCTGAGACAAGAATGGTACCACACGAGGTGGATTGATAGTTGCTATTAAATTTTGCCATTCAGACATGATTGATATCTAATAGAGAAATTTGACTTACACTTGCGTTGTGCTGCATTCATGGACTGGTGTATGATACAAGGATCTGGAAGTGACTGTGGTTGTGCAGCTGGATGTAATTAATAGTGTCATTGATCAAAAACTAATAGGTGTTTCAAGTGTACTTACAAGAGTGGACTGAAGAGGGTCGGACCAAAGTTGAAAGCTTCTGTGAGTATTGCAAGTAACACACTCCCCAAATGAAGCGACCAGGTTGGCCAGGCACAATGGTGGCAACATAATAGCATGGAGCGCCTTTAAGTATTGTGCCACAGCAAGCAGGTCAGCCACAAACACAGTCCTCCTTGGCAATAGCATCCTCGGTAAACTGAGAGATGAGTTCCATGACGGTAGTAAGTACTTGTGTGACGAGCCAAAGAAATACTGTTGGAACTGTTGGAACAGTGACCCTACAACACTTCAGAGGCAGGCTTTATATATTTGACCGTCCAGGACAACTCACCATTCTGAAAATATACTGCTGTGGGCTAATAATTTTGCAATCACACATGAGTCACAAAGATGATCCCGCAGCACTGAGGTGCATCTAAGTTGAGAGTTGCCTCGAGCTCCATTCAGCACTGAGGTGCATCTAAGTGAAGAGCTGCCTTGAGCTCCATGTCAGACAGTTGTGATCAGAGTTGCCATGATCAATAACGACTTGGAGTGCATGGGACTTGAATGGACTTATTACCAGTGTGTCAGACTTCTGTATCGGACTTATTCAATTGTACTCCGAGATGACCTGAATTCAAGTTCAGCCATTTGTTGGTGACAATCTTTCAGCGTGCCTGCAGTCATTTGTTGTGTTCAACCTTTAAGACATACCTTAGAATCTCTGGCTATAATCTTGGTGTTGAGTAATCCTATTCAGCCACTTCTTATCTTTGTGTTCAAGTTAGTATTCAGTGCGTCTATTTTGGTACTGTTCCTGCAAGACGTGCCTTAGCCATCATCTTAGTGTTTAGTGCTCCTATTCAGCTGCCAGTGTTCAAGTTAGTGTTCAGTGCACCATTGGTGTTAAGTGTGCTCTTCTCTCATTGGTGTTCAGTGTGCCCATTTAGCTAACTGTTATCTCTGCCAGTACTACTTGCATTTGAGTTTTGGCTATTCGGTTGACTCTTATTGAGGTGTTCAGTGTGTAGTCAGTGCATTATTGGTCCTCAGTGCACCTATCCAGCTGACCCTTATCTCTGCCAGTACTTGCGCCAAGGGTTTAAAAGCCCAGCTATCATGGTGACCGCCATTCAAACTACTATGCCTAACCAAAATAAGCCAACCCATATGAATTTCTCTATGTATCAAGATTATAAAGCTAACATGACTTGCAATATCAGCACCTCTTGAGGAGATTGCTCCTCACATCCTTTGGTACTGGAAAGTGCATCAAACAGACAGGAAGATCGTGAAAAACTTGCAGAATCATTTCAACACATCTCATTATGGACTAGGGTGAGTCAATTTCCACTAATTGATACTATTTTCCTGATCTTTGTGTGTAGATACACGAAGTTCAGAGAGATCCACAATGACATGGGTCTCCTGCATACCTGCCAGCAGAGCCACACCATTGAATCTATCCGTGAAGCCATGATCGAGCTTCACAAGGCATACCCGAATGCCAGAGCACAGGAAATGGTTATTTTGCTCTTTCATGAAAAGGAAATGAGCATCTCAAGGTATTTCAATCATTTATTATTGATATGTATCTGACTCACTATAGAAACTTGGTCATATCATATTGTGCTGCCTATGAAGCAGATCTCATACATCAACGAAAAGCTCGTCGTCTCAAGCGGAGGCGGTTCTGGGCTGCTGGGGTCAATGACCTATTTGCGGTTGATCAACACGATAAGTGGCTTTGATTTGGTCTTGCCTTGCATACTGGAGTAGAGCCATTCTCTGGTCATATCATGTGGATCCGAGTCTGGCATTCTAACCGCAACCCCCAGCTCATTCTCACATACTATCTTGAGACCATCAAGAAACTGGGCCATAAGTTCATTCAAATAACTATCTATCACTGTTACTTATTCAAGTTGTCTTGCCTGGGTACAACAGATATACCAATGGTGACTCAGAGTGATTCTGACACTGAAAACCATGGAATCGCCAATGCACACACCATGCTTCATCAAATGTACGATCTGGCATTACAAGGTACCTTACAATACTACTGGATGCGGACCAAGAAGAATGTTAAACCAGAGATTGCTTGGTCTCAGTTACGGTGTTGGTTTACTCCTGGTTTCGAAACACTTCTAGATATAACTGACCAGCTTGTCATCCTAGGTAAAGGTCATGCAAGATGCTATAGACCACGTCTGTAATCTCTATGTGAAATCTGATCATCCCATATTCGACTTGGTTCCACAACCACTCAATGATTTTATTGGACGTTGTTACGATGACTTAGGCCGTCCTTCAATCACCCGCCAGTCTGTGTGGACAATATACTTGGATTTACTTCATTCTATTCAGCGCTTTGAGCAGCTGCCAGCCGCTATTAGTTCTCTTACAGACACCACTGACTTGGATGAAGGAGCTTTGCCTCTCCTCAATAATCAAAGGGACCTATTTTTTCATGAGGATATTGATGGCACTTACTATATGGGTGGCGTCCATGGGGGGCAAGGTCTTGGTACGTGTTCACTTAGCTTTAACAGTTTGTGCTAATTTACTTACTGCATAATAGATATGTCTGATCATCGCCGGCTGGATGAACTTGCCAAGCTGGATGAACCAGGCGCACACTTACTGCCCACAGCTCCAATCATAGAAGAGGAGGGCTTAGTAATTGCAGAATTCTCTGATGAGGAGGACAATGAAGATACATATGATTGGTGACTTCACTTACTGTAGAGTTTGACTTTTTTGTGTAACTTTAATGACAGCACTCCAAGAGGTTCCCAACAAGTCATTAAAATACAAGTTGCCAGGGGTACACGGAGTCCCTGTATCATACCTGCCTAATATGTGTGTGGTCACGCTATGTAACAGAGCGCGGCAGTCCTGTCTTCCATATTTACTACTATGGCGACGTCCGCTTCACTTCACGGAGTTGTTGGTCTTCGAAATGGAAGTCAGATTGACAGAAAGAACGTTTGGCGATACGACGGACTCCAGAACTCGGAGACATTAAATTCGGTGCGAACGCTGCTTCAGCTGAAGACGGCATCTATCTATTGGATGGCGTACAACTACTGGTCTGAGGCAAATCTGCTCATGCTAATGATGACAGTTCTGAAGCAGTCCCTCAAGGAGTTCGACCTTAGCGCCATTCAACGAAACATTACGGTAGAATTACGATAGAAGGTCGGAAATGCGCGCGCGCGCGCGATCTAATCTTTGTTTTTGCACGTTGTCGCGCGTGGGCAAGCCACTTCTAGCACGCCAGTCTGAAATACGACGTTATCCCATCATCTCTTTCTATCGCCGCCATCATGCTTCCAACTGGAGTGTCTGGTACCCTATAAGTATCTCAAGTGATGACTTATTTAGATCTCCCTACTGGCCTGCACTAACATGTTTATGAGAACACTCGTTCAAGCTGGTGTTACGCTATCACTGCTAGCAGCTAGCGTATTCATGACTCTCGCCGTTTCTGTTGCCGAGGACAATCTTGATACTACGGAAGCAGTGCATGTTGAGATTCAGTCCAAGGTTCACAATGCAACTGGCATTCGTTATGTCAAGAACTCAGGAATCTGTGAAACAACTCCAAATGTTACCCAAATTTCTGGTTACATCAACGTTGGAACAAACATGTCCATGGTATATTTCTGTTCCCTATCCTCCAGGTGTAAATTGATAGGAGATACAGTGGTTCTGGTTCTTCGAGTCTAGAAACTCACCGGAGACAGCCCCATTCACTTTATGGTAGGTTGCCGAGAAGCTGGGTCACACAAGTAATCTGAGCTGAGTCGCACCTCTTAACTGCTTTCGCAGGTTGAATGGCGGCCCTGGATGTTCTTCTATGGTCGGATTGTTCCAAGGTTGATTGGTTTAATCGCCTTCGAATTTACTTCTAATTTTCACAGAGAACGGGCCATGTCTGGTGAATGCTGACCGTAATTCCACCATTCTTAACCCCTACAGGTATGTCATGATCATCGCTGTTTTTATATGCTAATATGACATGCGTTCCTACAGCTGGAATGGTCTCAGCAACAGTATGTAGCACGTAGCCTTCCCATTTCGTTGCCAGAGTTGACTTCCTCAACCAGTGATCTACATTGACCAGCCAATTGGAACAGGGTTTTCTTACGGTACTGATACGGTAAACAGCACAGAAGCCGCTGCGCCCTTCGTGTGGACTGCATTTCAGGTTTTGTTTGAAAGCCAGTTATTTTCGAAGTACGCTAGTCGAGAGTCAGTCGCTTAACTCATCTATCACGGACGATTACTGATGCCAGTCTCAGGTTCATCTTTACCACAGAGAGCTATGGTGGTCACTACGGACCCAGCTTTGTGACCTACTTCGAAGAGCAAAACGCCTTAATTGCTAGCGGGAAGATTGATGCTGTTCCAATTGTTGTCAGCGCCCTGATGATTAACGAGTAAGTCGCTTTCTTGATCGACTAGTACCCTGTTGAATGAGCATTCACAGTGGCTGGTATGATCCGCTCATTCAGACCGTTTCATACCTAAGCTATGTGACTTATGCCCCTGGCTATGGACAGCTCCAGCCAGATGTTGTACTCAAGAACATTTCGGATTCCCTCTACGGTCCTGATGGTTGCGTAGCGCAAGAGAATGCCTGCTACGCTGCTGGAACTTCTACCCACTCAGATAAGATTTGCCGGGACGCCGAAAGTTACTGTGTGAGTAACTCATCAATACAACACGCTTGGACGTCACCAAATTCTTTCAGAACGACAATGTCTTTATCCCTGCTGCGGGCGATTACGACCCCGATGATATCCGTCAAAATTCATCTGCTTTATTTCCCCCTGAATACTATGTGTATTATCTGCGCAGAGAGGATGTCATGAAGAAGATTGGTGCTCAGGTCAAGTACGAGGAATGCCCGGACGCACCCTATGACAAATTTGTAAAGACAGGCGATGTATGTCTTTGTCTGGCTTCTTTCCTCGAGTACTAAATTTAGCTTCCTGCTATGTAAAGATTGCTAGAACATGGCTACCTCAGTTGTCAGCACTTGCCAACTCTAGGATGAAGATTTTGATTTGGGTGCGTGCTTAGTTACTACTTCATTGTTTACTAATTTACCAGGGACGAACAGGCTGGAGATGCTGATATGAAGTCCGTTCTCGTGTTGTAATGACCTTTCAGATCCTGACGCTTCTCATTGACTTTAGTTGTAACTGGCTTGGAGTAAGCTGTCGCGTATTCTGCCGCCAACGTTGCTGAAGTATTCTGGCTAATAGGGCCATGCGTCAGTTCTAGCAATGGATTGGTATGGCAACGAGACGCTCCATAATACCCCATTCACCAATATGACGATCAACGGCACGCCTATCGCGGCCGTGCAGAACGTCGACAACTTCTCCTTTGCGTGAGTTTTTTTTCCCTTAGCAGCTTGTTAATGAAAGATACACCTACACCTCATCATTTTACGTTTTAGACGCGTGTACGGTGCTGGACACGAAATCGTCAGTTAACTCTCCTGGGGGTGATGATATCTACTGATGCCTGTTATGTCATTAGCCTTCCTTCCAGCCCCAAGCAGCTTTGGAGATTTTCTCGCAGGTTGTTCGTAAGGAGCAACTTCACTCCGTCTGAAGAGTGATTTTGGAAGCGTACACCGTGATTCTGGTTAGACATACTTGACATGTTTGCAAAAAGCCAAACTTCGAAATCTACATATCCATACTGCCAGGAGCACGTACCTCACGTACCACTACTATCGGTTAACACAACTTCGGTCAACCATTAGTTGGGACAATTTGGAATATCTCGCTCAGCTCTGCTTCAAATTATATTCTGTCCAACTACGTATCATTGTACATTCATAATACACGTGCACTACTGTGAAGTTGAATAATTGAAATTGGTCGAGAAATATTTGAGATCCTTGTACTTAAGTCAAAGTGAATCTGAAGTGAATCTGAAGAGCATATGAATGCGAAACGTTCAGCGTACGATACTATATAATCAAACACCCTTCACCAACACTCTCTTCAACTCAACATTCTGCTTCTCCAGAGTCTGAATCTTTGTTTGTGCGGAACGCATCTTCTTCAACAAGTACTCCTTCCGCTCAGATGTCGTTCTACGCCTGAACCACCAAAATGACCGCTCCATTTTTGAGATGTCCTGAAGCGTGCTCAGCTCGGATTCGCATGCACGAAGGGTACTCTCAGCGCTCGAGATAAATTTATCATTGAGTGCGATGTCTTGTGTGGCTTGGAAGACAGGGTCTGACGCATCATTAGTGAGAGGAAATTAGGTAACAATCGCATTGCCCATTACCATTCACAAGTCTCTCGAAGACATATTTGAACACGGGCTTTCCGGGACGTATCGTGGATGGTCGACCTGAAAATAATATTAGACAGCATCTCCCAGCCTGAATGATTGACAGTACCATGTTGTGTGCTGATGGATATGATCTCAGCGTGTTCCATAACACGAAGTGGCAGCTCGTCTCCCTTGAAAGGCGCATCGAGTAACACTTCGTAATACGGCAGCTGATAGGAAAAGTAAGCAACCTGTCAACTAGCACAGAAATTGAATACCTCAGCTTTGCGTGCCAGTTGTTTGAGCACAGTCCATGCCTGCTCTCTCGACCATGGCAAACTCTTAGCGTCGTCGATGTCTTCTCCAAAGGCCTTCTTTCTCAGTTCCCCGACATCGCTAGCAATGATGTCTTCTACCGCTTCCTCGACGCCTTGACCACAAGAGACTTTGTGGATTAACTATATGCAAGTAAGTGCATTAGTATGCGCATTAAAGGGGGTAACAGATTACTTACACGTTCAAGGTCACTTGTACGACCGCCAAGGCGTTCTATGGCCTTCTTTTGTACATGCGTGAGATCTGATGTGACGCCAGCATCGTGGAGGCGTTGGCGGACGAAGGAGAGTGCAGTGGGGGCATCAGCATCATAAAGGGCAATGGAGTTCAATAGCTTGGAAGGCAACGCTGTAACACCATATTAACAATACCTCATACGGGTATAAGTATAACACACACCCCGGGCTAGCAGCTTTGCGTTCTCGCGGTTGTCGCTGACCACGATAACATGGGCGATCTCGAAAGACATTAGGGTCACAATTGACAAGTGGAACGATACGAATCACCTGGTTCTCAACGAGAGATGCTGCCCAATGCGCCAAGACGCCGAGAAGTTCCTCCTTGTAAACTCTTCCCCGTGCGGCATAGTTTTTGATGACAACAATCGGAAGCGTATGCACAGCTTGCGCGTCCTCTCCGTGCCGGCGTTGTTGTCTCGTTAGCTCCTCACTTGTCTTTTCCCATCCACCATTCGAGTTTACGACATCCTCCTTCATCGCATCGAGGCCCACAAATCCGCCGTCGTCACCCTCTAGCAACTCGTCGCCCACACCAAGCTCGCTTATAATGCCGTTTCCGGCAATACAGTCCAGTCGTGGATCGTGCCATGTCCCAGCGCGAATACGGGCACGAGTCCGTGCTTCTTCGGCTTGTCGTGCTTCAGCTTCTTGTGCTGCTTTAACAGCACGCTGCGCAGAAGTGCGAAGGAAATGGTTGACTTTCTTCAGTGCTGTGCCTGTGACTTCCAGAATTTGTTTCAGCTGGTCTTCGAGGGAAGACTTGAAGCCCGCTAGAAATACGTTGATTATCCAATTAACAAAGTAAAGAAGAGTCAACCAAGTCACCTTTTTGCCCGATTAGGCTGACAGTCGCAATGTCCACCATGTTGTTGACGGAGTTCAGGAAGGTAAAAATTGGTCTGTAGCCGGTCTGCTGTGCGAGTGCGGAAACGAGCTGCGTGTCTGATGTAGCTCTATTGATCTCAGCACAATCGATCACTAAAGCTTTTCTGTAAAGTATGATCAGCTATGTCTAGATGGATATAACGTATCACAAACCTGCCGGTATCGCGTATGATAGCCTCGAGCATACGCGATTTGCCGCTGCCCTGGGGACCATGTACGAATGCAACAGTAGCTATTCAAATTGTGCTGTCAGAAGTTTACATCGGAAAATGAGTGAGAAACCTACAAGGAAAGTCAGAGAGGTAGCTTCGCACAGCGTTTTCTGCGTCCTTGCGCTCTTTCCAGATGTCTCCCTGTGGAGAGACATCGTCGCGAACGCTCGTGAGCGAAAACCTGTTCAAGGCATTTGCACGAAGCCATTTATATAATTTATATTCTGAAATGGAAGAAATGAGTTGGTTCAATGACAGTGATTGGAAGTACTTACCACGATGATCGAACCAATTAAGCATCTTCCCTTCAACAGAGAGAACTCTTATGGGATCGAATATCTAGTAAACAATTGTTTTCCAGCTCATGAATAAATTGGAAAATACTTCACACACAGTGTAAGTTAATGTCCCGAGTAAAAAAAATATGATTGGTAACACAATCTTGGGATGTGAAGTCAGCCAGTCTCTAATTGCATGGGCCTGGATGGGACGTTGGTATACAGTCCTCAGGCGTGTTGTTCCACCAGCATCGGAGAATCTGTATCCATGGACGGTATTCCGTGCGACAGTGGCGGAGCGTACGCGGTGGAACAGAATATCAGAGGAGCGGAACATTCCTGCCGGAACAGGTGTAGGGGCGGTAATATTCTGTATTCGGCCGCACGGCTAGCATGGCGTCAGGGAAAGTAAACTTATAAATGTGTGGACCCACTCGAAACAGACTGTACAGGGCTTCTTCAGGAACATCTGGGCCCTGGAAGGTCACGTGGACGATTCCCGACGGATATCTGTACATATCCTGATCACATTGTTTGCATTCTCACCAAGCAACTTCTACTTGCGAAAACGCACCTCAAGAAATGGCTCCCCCTTCACGAGCCAAATATTACAGTAATGAAGCCCCGACCAAGAGGGTAGGCCGCCATGCTTGGTAGCTTCAAGTTGGAGATCCGTCTGGAGCGTTTCGAGCGCGGTCTGATGATCACGAGCCATATAAGTGAAACGCACAAAGACACCACCATCTTTCTGATAAGGCAGGAGCTCGCGTATGCGGAAGTCATGCGTCTTTACAGTCTCGAGACGCTCATGCAAGCGTTCCAAGAGGGTTTCCTCACGTATTATGCCGATGTAGTGTCGAAGGCTGCGTGAGTTTAGTTAAGTTAAGAGGTGTAGTTGGCTGGTACGAACTCCCAGATACCGAGACGAATAGGGAAGACGGAGTCAATGAACAACCATCGTTCTTGAGACTATAGATAGTGATTAGTGTTGGGAACCCCTGGTCTCTAAGTCACTTACGTCCCCGTCCAATGTAGATGTGCTCGCTGTCTCTGGTGTGTCCTGTAATACACGTATGCTCGCATGTATTCGTCGTGTCTGATGTGATAAAGAGCGCAAATTTCGAGCAGCCAAGTTAAACGTACTTCTTGAACACATGTTGAAGACGTGATGCTTACTGTGGCCAAACTGGCTACTAGCAGATCATTAATAAGAAGTATTTCCCATATTTTAACGTAACGTGTGATCGTGGGAGACTATCACCTCGTTTGCGTTCTTGTGCGGATGAAACGGAGCAAAGTTTGCATCCCGTGAGGATCCTCACGCTAGACACACTGTCAGTTTGTGCGCACAGGACGACAGCGACCACCGGATCATAACTGTTCTCGTCAACGCAGACAGTGATGAGCACCTATACCCAAACACAGGCTCGTCCTCCTCCAGCTGTACTAGGACGCAAAAATTCGTTCTTCGGCGCCATCAAGAACATCGTCACTGCCCCACTCTCATGGTTTGGAGGCAGTGAGGATGACTTTGGCGATAGCGACGCCAGAGGAAAGCGAAGGCGGCTCCCTGTTGCCTCTGAGCAAACTCACGATGACTCAGACTCAGACTCAGAGCAACGGACCAAGAGAATGAGAATGGGCAGCCCCAACAGAGATAAGCAACCATACCTTGATCCCCCAAGATCAGCCTTCATGCAGCACCACAAGACATCTGAAGGTGTACGCATCCAAACTCATCGTCATGTTTCGCCCTCGCCAAGAAAAGCCCTCCGTGTACCTACTACCGCGCCCCGTAATAGACGCACGATGTCCCCTTACCCAAGTGGATCACAGCTCAAGGCACAGCCGTCTGTGCGTACAATGTCTCTTGATCCTCCATCTGGACTGGGCTACTCCGGTTCGCAAGCCCGGTTGCAGCCAGTTCCAACTATGCAAGATCTCACAGAGGAGAAAGATGCTATGTCCATCAGCAGGGAGCCATCCATGTCAAACCTTCGTATGCGTACGTCTGTTACACCTCAGCCCTCAGGCTCCGATTTCGGCCCCGTCATTCTCCCTCGCCGGGAGCGCGATCCAACTGAGCCGCCACCGCTTACGACATTGATGTCAAACCCCATGTTTGTTAAGCCCCCGCCTGGCTTGCAGAAGCACAGTACTGCGGAAATGACCAGACAAGCCACTCTTGGTTCATTACTAGACTCTCAGCGTAAGGTGAGGATTTTTTTTTCTTGTCCTGGACGTACCTTTGACACGAATTGCTCAGCAAATTCATTCCCCTGTCCGACGGGGATCTGTTTTGTTTGGCACAGGATCTATGACAGATATATCGGCTCGTGCGTATGCCCACATTCTTAATCGCTTTTGATAGTTGATTGTCCCGCAATAGCCCATCTTTGGCCGATCAACCCCGCTGAGAAGGCCCTGCATGAGCTTGAAGTATACAAAACTCCTCTTCTCCCCTCGCGCCTTAAGGGTGCGCCGATTCCGGACACTTTTATATCGAAGAAGAGCCGCCCTATCACTCTCATGCATGACCGGGACCGAGAACGTAAGAAGGGGAAAGGCAAAAACAAGATGAAGGATCGAGATGGTGTCAATGGGACAAAGCCATACGCAGGCGAGGGTGGCATGAAGAAGTGGTTGGCAAGGAGGAAGCGGGAAGAGGAGGTGGTGCGAGCGTACAAGGAGGCTGATCGAGAGAAGGAGAAAGAGCAGACGATGGAGGAGGATGAGAGTGCTAGTGCTGAAGCTGAAGCTGAGAGGTTAAGCGAACAGCAAAAGAAAGCACAGGAGGAAGAGGCACAACTTAAAAAGCAGATGGAGGTCGCGGCAGTTCCGAGGGCACCTGCATTCGAGCCAAAGCTCAATGCTACAAGGGAGATGTCTCTTCGCGTTGGACGCTCGCGGATGCGCAATCACATTGAGCGCCCGACAGCAAAGCGCACAAATAAGTTTTCTGCGGCGTTTGAAGATGATGAGGATGTTATGGATGATGAAAGAGCTGCACTTGAGGAGGCTGCCAAGACAGTACCTGTTTTCGAAATTCCTGCTGGGTTCACCTTTGCGAAAGAGGTAGATCATTTTATGACACTGATGAATAATCGATCTCATCATTTTCGCAGACGTCCATATCTCACGATGTTACAGGCGCAAAAGAACCTCCCATCAGTGCCCTTCCATTTTCATTGTCTAAACCACCTGCAGCTACCGCCAAGCCGGCCGAGCCCTCTGCAACCCCTACCATCTCGTTTGTTCCTCCTATCCCACAGCCGTCCAAATCAGTGGCACGTAGTGAGCCTGCGTCCGTTACAGCTGCCCTTCCCACGAGTGCCTCTAGTATTCCCAATTTCTTTGCTAATACCGCCGTGTATACCAAGCCGTTGGCCGTCACCACTCAGTCGGGATCTTTTGGCGCACCTCCTCCTGTTCTCGCACCCACACTAGCACCAGCACAAGTGCCAGAAGCTCCAAAAGTCACTGAGGCGTCTACTTCCTTGTTTGGTACGCCTGTAACTGCCCCTCAAGTATCTGTCCCACCATCCTCTGTGCCTGCTGCGACTTCTATATTCGGAGCAGCTCCTCCGTCTTCAAGTACTCCAATCTTTGGCCCTTCTTCCACTAGCACTGGCACATCATTTGGTGTTCTAGCACCACCAAAAGCAGCACCCACAGCGATCGAGGTGACGCACGTCGCTTCCCCCGTCATTTCTCCGCCACAGCCATATGATTCTACCCCTGCACCGTCCTCTTTGCCATTTTTGTTTAGTTCTTCAACTGCACCTGCTGAAACTTCCCAAATTGCCCCTGCCAATGAAGTTTCAAAACCAGCAGAACAGGAAGCAAGCAAACCTCCAATGCTCTTCGGAACTACCCCGCCTGCCGCCCCATTCAGCTTTAGCACACCCGCTGTTTCTGCACCTGTAGCTGAGCCATCCAAGCCTGGATTCTCTTTTGGGGAACATGCGCCGACGCCTGCGATGACAGAGCCATTGAAGAATGCTTTTTCATTTGGCGGGCCCACACCTTCTACGACCTCTGCGCCCGTGTCTGCTCCTGTGATAGAGACCCCCAAGCCGTTTTTCGGGAAGCAGGATACAAGCTCGGCAGCTGGATTTCCGTTCGGCCCACGCCCTAGCACTGCGCCCGCAGAGGAGAAACCCGCCTCTGTCCTTTCGCCTTTCTCGTTTACGTCTGCTACACCTGCACCAGCTGAGAAGAAGCCATTCACCTTCGGCACCCCTTCTCCTGCACCACCTAGTACTACAGCTAAGCCATTCACCTTTGGGCATGCCAATGCAGGCAGCAATGCCGCTGACACGAGCAAACCGTTCAGTTTTGGGCAATCTGCTCCTGCTTCTGCACCCGCGCGTCCTGCCACGCCCCCAAAAGCAGACCAGGAGATTAGCATGGATGAGAGCCCGAGTCGTGACATGAATAGTAACGGGAAGGAACGGCCACTACTCGATTTCTCTTCTTTCGCTGGTGTCAGCAGCACCCCCGCAGGGAGCACCCTCTTCGCGCAGAGCCCTGCTACGGCAACAGGCCCTGGATTTGGATTTGGCACGGCCAGTGCCAATCCATTCTCGAAGCCAGATGACAAGGAGAAGCCAGGGATGACGTTTGGCTCTGGGAGCTTTGCTCAACCGTCTGCTTCCGGCTTTGGATTTGGGCAGGGCGCAACTGAAACACCTGCCCCAGCATCTACAGTGCCGTTCTCGTTTTCACAGGCAGCATCACCTAATATGGCGCCGACCACAGGGTTTGGATTCAGCCAGACCACAAGCAGCACATTTGGGCAACAGCAAAACACCCCGTCAGCACCATCGAGTCCGTCGACATTTAATCGCCCAGGGACGTCGTTCTCTTTTGGCACAGCGGCATCTGCGCAGCCTGCTACACCTTCCTTTGCGTTCGGGGGTAGTCAGCCTGCATCCCCAGCTACCCCTGCCGGCGGGCTTCCACAGCCCTCAGGCAGTGCGTTCACATTCGGTCAGTCGAGTGCAGCGCCAGCTGCAACGCCAAACTCATTTGCTCCCACTGCCGCTTCATCTGGCGGAGGTGCTCTATTTACTATCGGTGCTGCTCCTCAGCCTGATGGAAGACAAATCAAGAAACTCCCCCGTCGTGGAGTCGGGAGACGTTAATTGTCTCCGAGACCTTTCCTTTTGGTAAACCATGGGCTATTACGGACTTTCGCCACAGAAAATTGCTCTCGTCTCGTTTCATTTCTGCTTTCAATCGCGCTACCATCACCTCACTCCACCCCGATCAATTCTGATGTCAAGCATCAACTGGCGTGCACCTAGTATGGTGCTCCTCTTTACGCATCTACCTCTTTGGGTCTTCAATAGTCAGCAGCTCGTCCCTGCTCGTCCTGTAGCGCACAACAACATTCACCCAGGGGAAGTATTTCATTGGCACATATGGATGGCTCAAGGCCACCACACGCTTATCTCCATGATACAAGTTTGATTATACACATACTCACTGGGCTCAAGGCCCGTAGACACAATCACATAGTTACCTGCATCATAGTAGCTTCTCTTTCTAAGTGCAAATTTTTTTCATTGTTAGTGGGAGGTGGTTCTTACAATGTCAATAACTCTTCTGCTGTTCTGACACTAAATTCAGTGTGTGAATGAATTGATACTAATCAGACGCGCGCGTGACGCGTGAATTTGATACAATCTTGAACGCGTCCCGCGAGGTCCAGTGTTCATCATGCCTCGCGAAATAGTGACCGTCCAACTCGGACAATGTGGCAATCAAGGTGAGCTCTCTAAGCCCAGTCCAAGCTTTAGGTATTCTGATCTAGCGACTGAAAAAGTGGGCGCTGTATACTGGCAACGCCTCTGTGCTGAACACGGGATCAACAAAGAAGGTATTCTCGAAGAATGGGCGACCGAAGGCGGAGACCGCAAAGATGTCTTCTTCTACCAAGCAGATGATGAGCATTATATTCCACGCGCGATCCTTGTCGACCTCGAGCCTCGCGTACGTTCTCCTATGACGCGTTACAACTGATCTCCTAACTGTGCACTGTCTAGGTTATCAACAACATCCTCACTTCGCCGTGGGCGAATTTGTACAACCCAGAGAACATTTTTATGTCGAAAGATGGCGGTGGCGCTGGAAATAACTGGGCGCATGGATACGCTTCTGGGGAGAGATTGTATGAGGAGGTCATGGAAATGATTGATCGAGAAGCTGAAGGGAGCGATTCTCTGGAGGTAAGCGTCACCTTCTACTTCGCCTTGGTCTTTCTAGATCCTCATGAGCTGTCTTACAGGGGTTCATGCTCATGCATTCAATAGCAGGCGGCACGGGCTCAGGATTCGGTTCCTTCATCCTCGAGCGCCTGAATGATAAGTTTCCCAAAAAGCTCATCCAAACATACTCTGTTTTCCCGAATGCCAACGAGGGTGATGTCGTTGTGCAGCCTTACAACTCCCTCCTTACCCTCAAGCGTCTAACGAACCACGCTGACTCGGTTGTTGTCCTGGACAACGGCGCACTGGCGCGGATATCCGCAGATCGGCTGCACGTCCAAACGCCTACTTTTGACCAGACAAATCAACTCGTGAGTGCACAAACAATGTGATATTGTTTGCTTAGTCTGATCGCTGCCAAAGGTGTCTACAGTCATGGCTGCGAGCACGCAGACACTCCGATATCCGGGATATATGAACAACGACCTTGTGGGTATAATAGCCTCACTTATACCAACACCTCGATGCCACTTCCTCATGACTTCATACACGCCCTTCACAAGTGATCAAATCGACAAGGTTCCTGCTCCTCTATTTCTTTGGTGCACAACTTTACTCATCTCCTATGTTATCAGGCAAAACCAATTCGTAGAACAACTGTCCTTGATGTCATGCGGCGTTTGCTTCAGCCTAAGAACCGCATGGTGTCCACAACACCAAGCAAAACGGCCTGCTACATCTCAATTTTGAATATCATTCAAGGAGATGTCGACCCAACGGACGTACGACTCTTACTGTCTGTTGTTTCTTTGATGCTCTGCTCACTCAGTCCTTTGTATAGGTTCACCAATCCCTTCTGCGGATACGAGAACGCCAGCTTGCTAATTTCATACCTTGGGGGCCAGCATCAATACAAGTGGCTTTGACGCGTCGTTCGCCATATGTCACGACGAATCACCGCGTCAGTGGACTCATGCTTGCTAACCACACAAGTATTGCTTCGGTAGAGAGTCATTTGCGTACGTCTTCACTCGATGCTAAGACTTTTTCTTTCTCTGTAGCTATTCAAGCGGATGCTCGACCAGTTTGACCGGCTCCGCAAACGAAATGCATTTTTGGAGCAATACAAGAAAGAGAAGATGTTCGAGAATGGACTGGAAGAATTTGATGATGCAAGGTGAGTGACTCTTGAGGTCCACAACCATGAGCTTGATTTACTGGCGGCCCATCAGAGCGACTGCAGAGGAGCTGCTCAAAGAATACAAGGCTTGTGAGAGTGCAGATTATATTACTTATGTAAGTTCTTTCATTCGTTATTCATTGTGTCTGCGCTCATATCAAGACATACAGGGGGCGCCAGACGCAGAACAGGGCTGATAATAGTGTCGAAGTATATTTCACGTATAGCATTCGCTTGTTCGCTCGGTAGCTTTCATTTTCGTTCGATTTCCATTATGCTCAGAAGCGTTTGTAAACGATATCCAGTACAATATTGCGAAAAGATCTAGTGATAACAGACAGAACTACACATGTAATAGCAATCCACACCGGTATAATGTGACGGAGGGTCCAATAACTATTTCTTCGGCCCCTCCAGCTTCTTTCCAATATCCGCACCTGTAAACGTAAAACATTATTTCTGAGCGGTGGTTGGAACGGGACGTGTGTACTCACCACGAAGCTTGACACCCAGAATCCTCTCGAACTTGCCGAGGACCTGAGGATTAGGAATAGCCTTTCCGGATTCGTAGTCCTGTATTACAGAAGGTTTCTCATTCGTCTTCTGGGCCAGGTCTTTCTGAGTGAGCTGCTTCTCCATGCGAGCGGTTTGGATAGCCTGTGTGCTGTGTAAGCGCTCACGTGACAGACTACGAGTCAATACCGACCTTGCCGACGCTTGCGTTGACTTTCGGTGGAGGAGCGACTTCGTTCTCCCGGTCAAGCTTGGCTATGCGTTGGTGATCTGGTCCTGCATGATACACAGTTAATAACTCGTGTGATACTGACTGACTTGTGTAAAGACGCACCCGCACGGGCTTTGTTCCCACCAGCTGTGACCTTCTTGTCTGTAGCAACGACAGACCCTGTTCTACGTGCCTGTTGAGGCCATCAGTCAAATATATCGAATCTGGAAGCAAAAAGTCATACAGCTAAAATTTACGGATCATCAGAGATATATTTCAAGTAGAAATGACTGTACCATTACTCACCATTCAAGTCCGACGCATTGCGGGTGACTTTTGGGGCCTTAGCCTTGAATCCGATAACGGTCTTACTGTCCCAGTCAAGGTTGCTCATTATGACTTTCGTGCGGAGTGTAAGTTGAAAGAAAGGGATAGTATACTTAGTGTCGTGGAGAGTGGGTTTGCAAACAAGTGGTGGCGCAGCGCTTATTCATAATGATCACGTTGTCACAGCCTGTCACGATCCGAGTCACTCTACAATTTGAATTCTTGTTCGAGTCACTCACTGGGTCTACGCCCGCCCTGGGTCAGGAAAACAAAATTTGCTACAGAGTGCTCTGAACAATCCACCCCACTAGTACTGATGCTCACGATTGAGCCTGACCCTGGCAAGTATCGGGAATTCCCGCATATGCTAGATACTTAGTCATAAGATAAGATTAGCCTTGGTTGAGCCCAGAGGAACTTGTCGACGTCCTTCCAGTTGGTACTACCGCGAGCGAGTGCCGAACCGTTGTTCAGAACAGCTACCGGGTAAGTCTGAATCGTACATCCGCTCATAAGCGATTCTTGTAACTCATTCGGTTTGTCACAGCAGATCACTGAGCGCACTTTCATCCTCGTTACTGGTTTCTTTCGATCAAAAATGCACAGCTGGATCCCAGATGTCGCGCAGCTTATATTTGAATTCATTTACAATCCCTTCCGCACAGAAGAGGACCGTGAGGGTCGCGCCACGGTTGTCGGTTTAGCATGAACATGTCGAGCATTCAAAGACCCTGCCCTGGATGTGTTGTGGGCTCAACTTCACTCCTTGGATGCACTCGTTCTCTGTTCTGGCGGGAAGCGGGACGAAAATGACCAATCAGTGAGCGAGCCAACGTGTTTCTCCCTCCCGTTGATCAGACTGTACTTAGATCTGGGATCGCCCATTGTATGATGCGGACTGGCGCGTTCTTGCGCAATATGGAAAGCGTGTCCGTACGCTGACGATCTCACCTCAATCGAATACACGTGATATCAGTACCATGCAACTTCTGAGTTGCTTTCCTGTTCCAGGACCTATCCTTCCGAATCTCACCAGGTTGAACTGGTTGTCTGATCGCGAGGAGTTTTTCCCTTTCTTACGTCGGTTCTGTGGACCCGATTTGAGGGCCTTGAGCCTTGAGCCCATCTCATGGAGTATTCACAAGTGTGCCGCTATTGCATCGCTTGCACCATCATGTCCTTTGCTCCAGGAATTCACATGCGTTAACGCAGAGGATTCGTCGATGCAATCGATCAGCGAGGCAGTCTTGGGTTGGAATAGGCTTCAAGTGTTGCAGGTCGGCCCTTTGGATGAACAAGCTTTGACACACGCTGGCTCTTTGCAAACCCTACAAGATCTACGTTTTTCTATTTTAAATCTCAGATCCCCAATGTTAGAATTTTGCTCCCCCCGTGCTGCACTAAAGATCTCAACACCATCACTCTCATCTTTTTATGTGTTCATCGAAAACATCCATTTCTCGACTCAACGTCTGCACCTTTTCTGCGAGCGCTATACTGGAGTGTTTCCCAAACTTTTCTTTTCGCGCCTAAAAGCGTGCTTCAGGAATCCCGCGGAACTTCTAGAACTAGGGCTCGTGAAAACGATACCCCACAACAGATCAATTGTTCTCAGTTCTGTCATGTTGGATTCGCTCTTATCGTTCAAGGGACTCAACTACTTAAACCTTGCGGATCTATGCACCTCGCATATTGATGATGCCTTCCTCGAAGAGATGGCGGTGTCTTGTCCAAACCTACACGACCTCTACCTGGGCGACAAGGGTTGCTGGGTCGTCGCCCCGCAGGCAACTTTTGGTGGAGTTATATCTCTCCTAAAACACTGCCATCAACTCTCCTCTCTAGGAATTTTCTTCAGTGCTACTATCGAAAGTAACTTTGTGCTCCAAGCCGATGCCATCAACCTAAATGTCAACAAATTTTCCGTTGGTGCATCCCACATCAGTGATCCTATGACTGTCACAGTAGTGCTGTCTTGGTTGATTCCTAATGCAATTCGCATAAATCATTGCAAACAAGTGGTTGGGGAGTTTCGGGCTATAGGGAAAGGGTGGGAAACAGTAAATACGTGGTTCAAGCCATTTGTCTCAGCTCGAAAGCACAGTTGGGAGCAAGGTTGGTCGGAGGGGAAGTCGGTGGTTGAGCAGAACGCAATAGCGTAAATATTGTTCTAGTATCCCTAGATTTGACTGGCAAAATATTTTATCAGGTCGGCCCTGGGACGACTGTGCATGCTTTACCGACGACTCGGAGTGCGTGGACAATCAACCAACTTATTCGAAACCTTTTACAGCGCGGCCATCAGCAAAGAGTGTTATGATCATGGCAATAGGATTGCAAAGTTATTTCTATCGCCTTGCCTACAGACATTCTTCTTACGATATTCGTCAAGAGGCTTATGGTCGCCCTCACTTTTCCTGTACAGCCAATACGCCATTTTCCCGCCCTTCTTCCACTTCCGCTGGACCTCAGTAAATCCGAGGACGTTCATAAGAGATTGAAGCTTATCAAAAGTCAAGTATCGGGAATTCTCGACGCACGGAAGCGGAAGCTAGTAAGAGGACCAGGTTAGTATTAATGGATGCGCTAAAAGACTTGTGAACCGAGTCAATTGCTTACCGCAAGGAAGAGTAGGCCGTCTGGGGCTAACATAGAGTGCGCAAGGCATAACATCCGCCCTGAAAGATAGTGTCAAATTGCGGATAGTCCGAAACAATGCACACATACCTCGATCTCGCGGATCCGGAACGAAATTCACGACCAAGCTCAGGCTGATGACATCCCACTTGCCTCGGTTTTCATCCTCGTCCGTCAACAGAAAATCCTGCTCTATAATAGAGGGATGGCGGCTGCGAAGGTCCATAGGCGTGGTATCTATCCATGACATGCATGTTCCATAGTTGTCAGGCTTTAGAGCACCAACTTCCAGAAGCCTGTTTGTCGTAGATGTTCAGAGTCAGCTGAATTGCTCCAAGAAAGAACGCGGCACTTAAGTACCTCAGCTTCCCTTCAGCAGCTTCCCTCTTCCGAAGTCCCATATCAATCAGCCACTGTATGAGCACTTTCTCACTTCCACCACCGCGGTCGTTCCCCTGCCCAATACTCGACATACGCTGGTAGGCCGCTAATCCTCCCAGCTCGCCGATCTCGCGTTCTATTTCTTCGAGTACTTCAGCATTGGCAGAAGATGTGTTTTTCAGTTGTCCCTGTTTTTTCAGCAGGACATGAAACCGTCGGATGACAGTGCGGCTTGAGGTGGGGGTGCTCGATGAGCTCGCTTTGTTAGTGTTCGTTACAGGAATCTTCTTTTTGCGAGTCCTGGGCATGGGTGACGTTAACAAGTTAAAGTTCTTATGTGCAGTTCGGAGAGCATGACTGGTATGCTTCAAGGTTCTTGATTAGCAAACACTTACACCGTGAGTACTTGGCATTACTAGTATGAGCAACCCCATCACTTCACAGCCAGATCTCGTTCCAAACCCATTGAATTACTATCGATACACTAGTCCAGTACTCGAACGGAAAAAGGGAAGTCCGCATCCACGAAGTACTGTTCTTCCTTCTTTAGGCCTAGGTAGTATCCAAGACAATTATAAAACCAATGGAACAATGTCCTCGAATTAAAAAGACAAGTTTGGGCTATAACGCCATCCGCAGTCACAGACTACGGGTAAACCTTGACTGCCTGAACGAATGGGGCAACGATAACAATCGGAGAGCGGTAGCAATGCACTTTAAATAAAACTGTGCCCGCCACGCTTCGAGTCGATCTTTTCAAAGCGCTCAAACTCTTGCCTCTGGTTGAGAGGGAAACAGATCAACAGTGTGGCCAGGTACTAAAACAATAATAGCTCACCTTCTTGATAACGCACATATTTGCCAGGAAAAAACCAATCACGATTGCCATGAAACCATCAACAGTGCTGCAGAGGGTATGAGAGTTCTGTTTGTGAGGAAATAAGAAGGGAAAAGTACCTGAAAACGTTGTTCAGTGTCAGATCCGTGAACTTGGTGATAGGCGTGACACAGAAATTGTTCAAAGCAGTTGCAGCGGCCTGATTAGGGCAGGTAGTGCCTCCAAACGCAACTTCATCAGCAGCGTTGAAGTAACCACAGCACTTGAGCTATAAAAAAACACAATAAAACCACGAGTCGCGAGTCGCAGGTCCGGGTGGGACGCACCATATCCTGGATCAAAATCTTGGTCTCGTTGCTCTGTTGCCCAAATACAGCATGGTAGTTATTCCGTTCATGCAGCGTGAAGATCCAGATATATGTGCCAATAACTAGGATGATAATGCTGTTTGCAAGAAGTACCCAGTTGAGGATTTTCAAGCCCAGGGTACCGCGTTGTATGATGACAAGCAGTGAGAGAACAAATGTGGCGAGGAGAGTTATACCAAGCACGCTGCCAGCTTCAGATATCATTTTCAGAGGGATATTGTGCGTAGAGGTACGTGAGCACTTACCAGTCAAGTTCACACCACCAAACGTCAAGTTGAACAAAAGGTTGGGTTGACGCCATACAATGGACAAGGTCAACGAGAGGATACCGGCGGCCATGAGACATATATCAAAGAATGCCCATGCAGCAATCAGTTTCTTCGACATCATGATTGTTTTTGCCTGAATGATTGAACTAAATGGGGCGTTGTGTAGAAGAGAGTCAGATGGTCAAGAGAACAGGCGTCCTAACGAATGGGCTTGCTGGTGAGCTGGATCGAATTGATGGAGACTCTTCCGGAGAGTAGAGGAACGATAGCACCTGGCTAGAGTTCGACGCCAAAAACTGGTCAAATGACGATCAACGTCAAGCCTCTGCGCAGCAGGAAAAGAACAAAAAAGAACGAAAGAAAAAAGTAGTGAGCGCTCTGTGAACCAAAAGATTGAAAATCGCAGAATTTCGCTTACAATATAAATATGTGTGTAGTATACAGATGGCGGTGCTGCTGAGACGATCAAAATTTGATGCGGCTATACAGCAATTCAAGGCAGTTCGATGCGTGGGGAGAAAAGTCGACAGTAGTGTCAAGGAGTACTCATGGAAAGAGGCTATGGGAGGGCAGTGGGAGGCGGTGGTATGGTGGTATGGCCCTTCTGTTAAGTATCGACAATAATTTATCAGTTTCAGTCTCCATGACAAACACAACACTATTAGAACAAACTTTGTACACCGTGGGTCACTAGTAAGACACGCTACGGCCTGCACGCTCGTTCCGAGTCAACCGCATCAGCTCTCAGTAATTCATCCTCGTGCCTCCGTAAGCCCTTTTTCATATCACTGACCTGCTCCTTATCCCCATCATATTTTGCGCAGCATCTGAATCTAGGCCCATCAATCGTCTTTACTGATTTGAGATTCAGTCATGCCTCACCTGGGCGGCGGTTCTCTGTTGCTAGCCTGGCAACTGAAAGGAAAGCACGTGCTCATCGTTGGCGGTGGTGATGTCGCTTCTGGTCGTATCGAATCTGTGCTTGCTGCCGACGCTCGCGTGACGCTTATTAGTCCAAGCAACGGACTGCACACTCTTACCAAATCTTTCCTCGATGGACCTTACAATATTACGTACCACGACCGCCTTTTCGGAGGCGTAGAAGACTTGGCCGACGTTGATCTTGTCTTAACGGCGATTGATGATGTGGCGCAGTCTCGTGTCATTTGTTGCCTATGCAGGGAGCTCAAGATTCCCGTTAATGTGGCTGATATCCCGGAGTCATGCGACTTTTATTTTGGCTCCCAAATCCGTGACGGCCCTCTGCAAATTATGATCTCAACAAACGGGAATAGCCCTAAACTGGCTAATATCATACGGAAGAAGGTCGAGCAAAGCCTTCCAGAGCACGCCGGAGATGCAATCACTAGGGTGGGTGAACTGAGAGTGAAGTTGAAGGAGAGAGCCCCCGGGGTGGGCGGTGAAATTGGGAAGAGACGGATGCGGTGGATGATTGATGTCTGCACTTCTTGGGAAATGGAGGAACTTGCTCTATTGGACGATCAGATGATAAGGAGGCTTCTCGACGACGGTTGGGAGAAAAACGCAGTTCCATCTCCTGGCGAGCTGGGAGCCAGGTCATCCCGTCAGGTGGATGAAGCCAAACTGAACTTCACAGCCCCTGGCGTTTTTATTACGACGTTGAGCTTTGTCGCGGGTGCTGCTTGCGCAGGTCTTTTCTTGCTCGTCCCACGACGGTGATCCTCGTGTATGCCGCCCTGCCCAGCTTCAAATACATGCGCTGATATATTTAACTCTTGTCGCAAGTTGCTTGGTTTATTCCTGTTGGTGTACGACAACAAGTTGACTATTCAGATGAAGCCCGCCATTTCTGGGCCAGCTCTATTTACGATTGCCTGCCAAGTGTCCTTACCGTTAGAAGACAACAATAAATATTAGCCTCGTACGTTGCTGATCGTTCCGCGGACCGTTGGTATCCTAGTGTCACCGATGTGCCAACCTGATGTTTCACGATACGGATTTCCTGGCTCTAAACTTGTCATTTCTCTTCCAGTTATGGGAACCAATTGTTCCTTCTACTCGGGACTTTCACTTCACCGGCTGCTGTGTAATCCTATCACGCATGTTTCGTGGTTCAGGTCGTCGACCTGACATGTAATGTAACGGTGACCACGCGTATGTCAGGAAGGTACACAGCCAATTGTTTTTCTTTTTTAAGTGCTTAGCTAGGGTACTCAATGGGTGACTTGTTGGTTGACCAGGTGATCAGTTGCGTCCAAAGTAATCACCACTTTCGTACCATAAGCTGATATCTAGTACCTGCGTTCTTGTGTGGATGATTCGCCTGAAGACACAGTATGCAACAGACTGCATCGACGCTAGCACTGTAGTAACCCTTGTCGTGTGAGAATACCAAGAAGGGGATACCAAGTCGGTTATTGGAGTACGCCACCTTGACAGCATCAATCTGTATAGGAGTCCATGAATAGCGTAGTGCATGAGAGAGTAAGACTGAGGACTGAGGCAATGTGGATACCAGTGAACATCCCGTAATTGGAGGATGAGGCTACTGCTACATGTATCACCCAAATACGGTATGATCATTGGTAGGGGACCGGGCCCGGTTCATGGATGTGTGATCTGCTAGAGGATGGGTAATGTGCGATTTGCGTGTTTTGGAGTGTCAAAGGACTATACTAGACTTAATCACTGACGGGCGTCTCTGGCCGCCTGCTCGATCAGGCCATGAGTTGTCCGATGGAATGGATGATATTTCATGATGATGCAATGGGGATATCGGGGATTTGTGTTTCTGGCGCTATATCCCCTGTTACTGTTCGTCCATAATGCGTTAGGAGTCCAATAGCAGAACCAATCCCAGCGCCACCAACTACCACTGTTGGAGATAAACGGGCGTCATGCACTAGTATATCACATATGCAATATTTTGCTCACAGTTCATTGTGCTCGCTCTCTTCCAGAAAATTGCAGGCGTTAGAACTGCAAACAATATCGCGCCAATAGTAGAGTGGTCGTCGGCACGTAATGAAGCAGTCTGGAAAGCAACCTGGACATTATGTGGCATTCACAATTAATTGGACATACGTCGTAGGCGTGTTGCAGGCGCCGGTCCCTTACAGTGGCTTCACTGGCTCTGGACGAGCGAATATACTCGAGCGTGCCTCCTGCTGCGCATCCTAGGGAGTAAAAATTTCAGGATTAACAGGAAATAAAAGTGTTATCACTATGCTTGCATACCTACTGCACCGCCTACCCACGTCGTGCGAAGGAAGCGGTTGACAGTGAAGTGGCCTTTACCTTTCCGCATGAGCACAAAAGCAACGTAGGCTGGTGGGGTGAGTAAAGAAAATACTTCATATCCTTTGGTCATTCCTCGTCGCACGAGAAACTCCATGTCTGCAGCATGAGTCTCTGACGATTTTTCTGAACCCATTTCTGGAGTGATTCAGGAGATCGTCGCGGTGCAATGAACAAAGTATGTGACATGTCACGTGCCATGCACGGACCAAGTGTGGATGAATAAGCCGCCTTGTCTGCATTGTGCATGCGCGCCTTGTTCTTGACCCTTATTTGACTGCTATTGCCCTCGCAATGTCGGTCTCACCATTTCCTGAAACTTTGGATGCACCAATGCATGACTTTGCCACCGAAATCGATGTTCCAATGAACCCAGCAGCTGCACAAGAATTTTTTGTGGAGTTATCCATGGACCACGATGGTCATCACACGATTTATAACCAGGAGGATGTCGAAGTTGATATGGAGACTTACTATGATGGCAATGCAGAGTATGAGATGGCTGATGAGACGGAGGAATTCAATGAAAGCCATTATCACCACGAACTACTCGACGTGGAAGTCTACGACGCTTCTGATGCTCGCTCACCTCAGGCCATACCTGATTCACACCCATTATCGTCTCTGATAATTAATCCGGAAATATCATTACTTCCCTCCTCTGCCCCTTTCTCGGATTCGTTCACCCCCCAGCTAGCCACCATCCCTGTTGAACACGACACATCTATCACAGATCACCCGGTGGAAAACGATCATCCCGTAGCTGAAGAAGCACAATTTAGTGCTCTGCAAGAGGAGGATTCTCTCGCTTTAACACTCGGGCATCTATCGGAGTCGGATCCTTCTCACCTTGCCACTGCTGTCGATCAAACGGCGGTAGAGTTTAACGTATCTTCTGTGGCTTCAACTGGATCCATATGCTGTAGAAAAACATGCGGATGCTCTGGTTTCTGAAACCACTGATAGAGTAGGATCATCTGCTCCACTCACAGAGGCAGAACCCACGCTTCAATCACAAGTTGAGGAGCAGTCTGAGACGTCCCACCCTTCAGATGTGCCATCTGATGATAGCGCGCAGCCTCAGGCTGAAACGCACCGGGAGGACCTCCACGATGAGGCAGACAATGCTAATGATCCACACGAAATATCTGATGGCGTCTACATTGACCCGCCACCCGCTGTTTTTCTGTCTGTCGGTTCCTCTGAGGTACCGGAGTACTGTTTATTCAACCAGCCTCCAGTGGAACGTGGGTCTCGTAGTCCGTCTGCAGGGGCTAGCAACCAAAAGGTGTATGCGCTGCTCTTGGAGAATCGGCCAACGTTATACTATGAGCCCCTTAGTTGCGTATTCGAAGCACTTCGGCAAGATGAAGTCATTTCCAGGATTCCCGACTCTCTCGAGGGAGAGTTGGTGATGGACGCTTACGATCTTCAGCTTGCCGTGTTAGAGGTGGGCATCATTTCTTCTTTTGCACAGGATAAGCACTGATTTTCACGTAGGACAATGTTTACGCACAGGGAATCAGTTTGCATGACCTAAACGTACTGCACGATGGTTCTGATTTTACGGGCCCTCTTCGCATCCAATTGCGTTCGGCGATCCCTAGGTTTATCTTACGTTACCGTTTACTTCAAGAGCAAATTTCTCGGCTTGACCTGGCTGCAGGCGTCGATGAAAATGTTGCAGCAGAGGGTTTGTATTCCTCTGCAATAAAGTCGAAATTATTTCTTAATGGTGTTGTAGGATACGTCCCTACAGTTGAACATGATGCCGCGCCAGAAGCAGATCACCATGAGGAAGAAACCCAACTCGAAACAGATCATCACGAGGAAGAAGATGCAGACCATCACAAAGAAGAAGATACAGACCATCGCGAAGAAGAAGATATAGACCATCACGAAGAAGAAGCCCCACACGAAGCACTTTTCCTCGATGATCAGAAGGATCTCGATAGAGCAGGAGGCGTTCATGAGCTGAAAGTTTCTCCAGAGCAGCTTCAGGGTGATGACACCCACGCAAAGGACGTGGCTTTTATCCCACAGGCTGTGGCAGGTATCGCCTACCACAGTGTCAGTGGCGACGTAGCACAAGCCCTTGAAGAGGAGGATGATTATGAAGGCACGAATGGTACAGAGTACCAGGAAGAGGGCGAGGGCGATCATGACTCCGCTACCGTGCATCAGACAGTGGATGCGGACGCTGCTGCAACCGTGTCAGATGTCAATGCGCAGTTCAGAGGGGAGACCGACTACCAGGATTACATACAGCCAGAAGAGTATGGCGAAATCTATGAAGACTTTCCCGAAGAGGACGGCACTCTCGCAGAATACGGATATGATCTAACGGTGGGTTATGAAGACGGTGGAATGGTAGCTGTATCGACAACAACGGAAGAGTCACAAACGGGTTTGCCTGTATCTGACCTCCATGAAGAAGAGACTACACCCGTACCATCGGCACAACACATTGATTCTGAATCCGCTCAGAGATCAGAAACAGGAAACCGAGGCAACAGTGAAGACTTGGATCAGGATATCGCACTTCACGGGGAAGCCCTGGCCCTGCGCCAGGTCGTTCACACAGATCGGTCCATGTCATCAAACAACCTTGCGAATCAACTCTCCACCCGCTTTGAGCACCGAGGCAACCATGAAGACTTGGACTGCGGCGTTTTGAATGGTGAGCAACATTAATTTTGTTGAATATCCTCATATCCTCATCTTGTGCTAGAACGAGGAGATCGTTCGCCATCATCTGAATCTTTCGAGAAAGAGAAGAGCAGCCGTGGCACTGACAAAGGTCTGTCCGAGCATTTCGACGCTTGATATTGGTTACTAACCCGATGTCGATTAAATCTTGTAGATCAGAATACAGATCAGCCCGAATCATCAGTGCAATTCCTAACAGATGAGTCGGATTCTAATTTACTTGCAATGCTTGAACGCGAGGCTGGTAAGGTGACTAGTTCTTTGTGTGGGACTGCGCTGACCCATAATCCAGATTTTGAGCTAGATCATTCTTCCTCTCACACCAATGCTAACCCTACAGAAGAGGGTGGCGGACAGACTTTCCCAGTTTTGGAAGAGTGGGATCAGTGGGATGACGAGTTAGATGGTGATGGCGAAATTGATTACGATTGGCTGGACCCTGGCGATGCTGTGTCCAATGAAAGCTCTGTGACTCTGTCCAGCAATTCATCTACAAAACGCCGTCACGACGAGGTCGACCAAGAAGAAGGTGAACTTGAAGCTGCCACACCTCGTGGTTCACCAGGTATGTCTCAATTGTGTTATACATTTACTTTACTGACCACAATGTATTGAAGAAAAACGATCCCGCATGTACTGAGACAGCGTCGGCGCCCCATATCCCATTCGCCACCATTCTTTACCTGCGCCCTACACTGCTGCTACCGCTCAGCCTCCTTGCCTGCTCCTGGCAGGTCTAACTTATCAGACTTTTTTCATTATCATGACCCTGGATCGACTGGCACGCACGCAACCCGAACATCAAAATTACGACCGTGGGCTAAGTACCGTTTTCAGGTTTCTATTATGTCCCCTGTTCTTTCAGTTCATCATCGCTTTTTCTCGTGGCTCACCTTTACAGCATATTCGGTCGTGCCACCGGCTCAGAGTGAGGTGGGAGCTGGTATTGAAGGATAACATCATTTGGTGGAAACTGGAAGTGGGCACGTGTGGTTATGTTCTTGGTCTGTTTGACCGTCACTGGGCCCTAATAACTGCATTCGATGTTCGCTCCTTTCCTTACGAGCAACCACCTGATTCCATGACATGACGAGTTGATAGTACGCCAGTATAATCTTATATAATTTTCGCCAGCAAACATGTATAATAATGACGCTGTACTGGTGAAAGAGATTACCTCATCATCGACATGGGATCCGGATCGACTTGTAAATGTAAATTTTAACCAGAGTAAGATTCGGCGACTCAAGAGCATGCATAATAGTCTAATTCTGTTCGGGATTTGTCCGACGCACACCTCTAGCCGGATGAATCACGTTGTCATGCATTCCTAGTCAGATAGTAATCGAGGTATCCTTGACTCAATGGTGAACCTCTGCTTGCTTCACGTCTGCTTCCAAGAATCCAAGGAATGCATCTGCACCTTTGCCTGCATCCTCTCCTGCGTGCACACTCGAGCTCGTGACCTCTGCCTCGGCTTTTGTGGGCTCGGTCGCGTCATACGCAGTGAGTTCAGCAGCGAGGTCGACGGGAAGAGTGGGTGGTTTTGGAACGGCGGGTAGTGAGAAATTCTTGACAACGCCAACGTGTGCGTCTTTTGCCTACATGACATATGGGTGAGTTGCCGGAATGAGCTGAGGCTGAAACAAAACACGAACTACAGCAGGAGGCTTGTAAGCTTTTAGCTCCTTAACGTAGAGGTCCTGGACAAGGTCTGCCGAAAGACTTCGTCAATCCATTGTCTCATGTGCCGGTCGGCGAAATGCGGAACAAACCTTTACGAGCAACGGACGTCGTAGAGAAGGTCCGTGTAGAGCGGGCCTGTCGCATAGATGAGCTCGATGACTTGAAAATAATGATGATCTAAGAGCTCACCGCTTGTCTGAGAAAATTCATGGACAACATGACTAGAAAAGAGGATAAAGCGTGACGTTACGCGGTGTTGCTCCTGATGTTCGAGAGTCACGTGTTGAGTCATGGTGCCAGCGGTTCAGTCACACGTCTTGGACTCCATCTTGGATATTCCAGTGCAAACTATTCATATATCACCATGTTCACTGTTGTTGCTCGCCGTGTCCCACTTACCCGGCTTGTCCTCTCAAGGAGTTACACCTCAAGTATCAGGGAAGGTAGTGTTGCTCAGAGCAAGGGATTCTCGTATGTGTAAATCTTTGCAGCACGAGGGACGTGCATCTAACCGTAATTGCAGCAAAAAGGAGAAAGCTCATGAAGGTGCATTCATCTGCAAGTCCAGTGACATTGTCACACTCACTGATTGCTATTCACAGACGAGTACGCTCGTAAGCACGAGGCAGAGCTACTGCGTAAGCTGAAAGCTGAGGTATGCACCACATGAATCATAACCATTCATTGTCCTAACTCAGTTCTACAGATTGAAGCGAAGAAGGAGGAGCTTGTGAGTCATCAGTATTTCTGTCGCTTGATGACATTCTGACTTTGAACACCAGGCCAGGCTCCAGGAGAAGCATGACGAGGTCAACTCAAAGCAGTAAATGGTACAGCAATGATGCCAATGTCGATTAATCGCAAAGGTTCAACGTCGAACGGTGATCATGTCTGAGTACGAGTTTTCGGTGGCCACGCAATGTTATTCCCCTAATCTTGTAGCTACAACTACCGTTTGCTACTAGTAGCACCCAACTTTGTTCTGGATGCACAAGTGTGCCTTTTTTGGCAAGACGTTGAAGCAACTGTGAATCTGACCCAAGTTAATCCAACCACGTCAGAGTCAGCCCATCTAATTACGTTATCAATTTTCTGGAGATACATTACTCCGATGTATGATATATATGATCTCCCAGTCCTCTTCTCGTTCTTAATCTTAGTATAGTGATCGCACTCAGTAATGGCGGATGCAGAGACCTCCCGTCTGTGTGTCCAGATTGTCTGGTCACACTTTGGTCCGTTAACTGCGGTGAGTTTTCGTGTGGTTTTCACCAGCTCCAGAAGTTTATTCATACTTGAATGGTCTGTCAGAAGATTGCATCTGCACTACTCACGCGGGGAAGACTTTCCCTTGCCCAGCTCATTCGTTACACGATGATGAAACCGCGCACAGTACGCGCGGCAATTTTGGTTCTGGTGCAACAGAATATTCTATGGCATTCCAACACCGAGGAGGAGGGCGAAATGCTGGAGTTCAATACACTAGAGTGTCTTATGCGTCTTAGGTTTGGTCGCTTCGTGTGGCAGGCGGAGCAATTGTTTGGACCGTCTGTACGTACCTCCTCTGTTTCTTCCTCCGTATTAAGCTCAATTAACGCTTGTGTATCAGGGTGCAGAAATCGTGCAGCTAATACTAGACCACGGAAAACTTCAGCAGCCAGACGTCATTTCACGATTGTCAATTGGCAACCCAAAAAGTCAGGAGATTTCTCCTGATTTGTGACCGTTGCTAATGGCACACCCAGGTTCAAGCCTATACCGGCAGACGTTATACAAGCTCATATCTGGCGCATATCTTAAGCCATCCACATTACTCTCACATCACTCACCTCGAGACAAACGTATCAAATACGAAGCAGAAGAGAAAGCTAAAATAACGGGTTTCCCGACAGCAAAGGAGTTGCGAGAAGCCCAAGAGACTGCGGAGGCGCGGCTGAAACGGGAGGAGAAGGAAGCAGAGAATGTGGGCTCGGTGAGTTAAGTTTAACTATCAGTGTACTAGTCAGCTGCTTCAATTTAAATATCTAGGATGGTGTCTACTTTCGGGTAAATTTTGATAAATTCAATACACATATCCGGAACAATGTCAGTCCCATGAATACCTTTTTGACGTTCTTGGTTTCATACTAATGTTATTTGCCAGCTCATCGAGATGGCTGCCGGAGAACGTTTCAATCGAAGTGCTGCTCTTGTCATGCGAGCCACGCTAAAAGCGACTGAAGCCAAACAAAAGAGTGTATCCGATGCGAGATCAGGTAGATATACTGTAGCACGCGTTTTTCATGCGATTGCTTATGCTGAAATAGATCCTACATCAACTGCCGCGGTTGCCATGCTTATTTCCGATGACGATGACCTATCGACAGGTATCGTCACGTCAACTAACAAAGCGTCTAGTGCTTCACTAGTCAAGGATTATCTCGGTCTTATGTCTGCCGCAGACAATCCAACGCCAGCTGGTAAAGCGGCATCGTTCATAAGTCTAACCGACAACAAAGTATATGTTGAGTTTGACATAGTTAGCAAACGCCTGCAAAGGCGCGTGCTAGAGGCAGTGGCTAGGGAACGACACGGGGATGACGGCGTGAGGATAGTGCGTCTACTCCTCGATGTTGGAAAGATGGATGAGAAACAGGTGCTTTCCTTGTGGGCCTCGTATTGACCGTGTCTCTGATACCGAACAGATAGCGAAGGTGGCCATGATGCCAAACAACGTCGTTCGGCCACTGCTTGCGGCACTGTCGTCCGACTTTTTGATTTCAACTCAAGAGGTACCCAGAAGTGCCGATCGTAACCCCACCCGGACATTTTATCTATGGTACTTGGTGAAGCTAATTTGTCAGGATCATTGACGTATCCCGATACCCAGGCACGTTGATCTACATAAGGCATATTCTGTGCTGTTGGGACAGCTGTACAAGACGCTGTATAACATAGGCATGCGGCGACAAGCAGAACAAGAGGAGTCGACTGTAAAAGCGGTACTGGCAAAGCGAGCACGAACGGATGTGGCTCAGGATGAAAGCCTATTGTCGCGGATGGAGCGAGACGTGCTTAAGGAGTGGGAGACGAAACGGGAGAAGCTCACCGTACTGGAGATGAGGGTCGAAGAAGCCGTATTTATACTTAGGGATCTTGAAAAGGTTGGAAGCTATGATGACATTTGAATACCAATCGTTAATTTCACGAAAAACAATGCTAATATGGATATGTACAATATTTTAGATATAAAACCTATACATATCCAGGGTACTTGTATTTTTAAATTTTGATTCCTGCCACCTTCGTTAGACTCCGATGTGAACAAAGTTATTTCTCCGGCTGGTCACCACACGGTACAACTATCCGAGTCAGCACTCCGAGTCAGTACGAAGTCATGATAAGACACTTTTAAAAGTCGAATACATTGACAGCTGCGGCAAGCAACGCTTCTACGTTTTCCATCGCTCATACTAGACCGCCAAGTCCACCTTGATCCTAATGTATGAAACCGCGCGTATCTACAGGGAGGGGGTTGATATCATCCCTCCTCACCCAGGCACCGATTGGACTCGCTTTGTCTGCATCTCAGATACACATTCTCGTACCTTTCACATACCCACCGGTGACGTTCTGCTGCATGCTGGCGACTTGAGTAGCTGGGGTAGTCTTTCGCAATTGATTATCACAGTCGAATGGTTGAAATCATTGAATCACCCCATCAAAATGTGAGTTGGCAGTTGTACTTTATGTTGTATCAGGTGCATCATGCTAACTTGCAATGGGCTAAGCATGGTCGCAGGCAATCATGACGTACGTCCGACTAAGCTATCATCATCTCCCAGATTTCAGACCAGACTTTGGTAGCTTTGTCTTGACGAGAAGTGGGCTCAGCCAATTTATGGCCTCCCACCAGAGGTGATTGTAGATTTCCCCAAACATCAGTCGAGCTAACAAAGAATCAATACCAGGAGGTCCAGCAAGCACGAACCTATGTACGGAGTCAAACAGCAGCAGGTCTGCACTACATTGAACACGAACCCTTTCGATTCATATTACCCTCGGGGCGCGAATGGAAGGTCCATGGCTCACCGGTGAGCATCAGTCGCTCCCTGCGAATCCGATACCTCGTGGAACTGATATACATGTGAGGCTGCTCCATTATACGCTCAAGGATCATTTCAGTACGAGACTACAGACGAGGCACGAGGTATGGTTTGGGACCAGATCAATGTTTGTGGGTAATCATGATAACCATTCTCTAGCGATTTATAACCGTATACCCTACGATACGGATATCTTGATCACACACACACCTCCTTTCATGACTCTGGACAGAACAAGGAAGGGTAAGCACGCTGGATGCTACGTCTTGTCGAACAAATTAGCGGAACTGCGGAACTGCCGGCTGCATGTCTTTGGCCACATTCATGAATGTGCTGGAGCGCAAATCAATAACCACGACCCATTCAGATTGGTTGACAGAGTGTCCGTGAATGCAGCCATGGCCGTGACAAAGAGAGCGATCGTTGTAGACCTACTGAATTGATGAAACACCCTGTATTACGGATACAATGTACACTAGCATAAATAAGAGATTCGTACATGTCAAACAGCCACCTTGCCCTTCTTCGCTATCTTGATACCCAACTTGTTTTTCAAATCTGATTTTGGCTTCTTCGCTGGCGGTGCACCAAGAGATTTGGCATCTCGCACTACTCGTATTGATTCTGGGAGGAGACTGCGTAAATCGGGCTCGACATCATCGGCCTTTCGCTTGATAGTGACCAGCTTTGGTGGAGTGGCGTCTGTGGGTGAATCTCCAGAACTATCCGCCGCGGCCGAAGAGCCGCCCGGAAGTGCGGGCATCGACACCTTCGAAAACACTTCCCTCACCAGCTTCTCGTCCTCTTCCTCTGCTAACCTTCGGTCCCTGTCTTCTTCCGTTTCTTCCTCTGCAGCAGTCCGAGAAGTCAGGTCCGACGCTTGCCCCACACGCTCGTTCCGAGCGTTCCGCGCCCGAATGTCCTGGAGGGCATCTAGGATATCCATCTCCCGTTTTGCGTCGACGGTGCGGTTCTCTAGCGCTTTCATAGGATTGTTCTCCTCTTCCTCCAGCCGAGCAAGACGATCCTCCTCTTCGACAACTTTCTCTTCTCGCCATGGTTCAAAGTTTCTCGATGCACCATGCTCTGCGGAATAATCGGTATTCTTGGGGTCGGTCTTGAAGGTAATCTCAGCGGAACATAGTGTACTAGAATGGCTCTCAGAAAATGTTAAGATATATAACGACGCAACGACGCACCACTTAATGTAGAACCGGAATATCTTGATTCCATAGTAATCCTCTCCATCCACCGTTTCCTTACGAGCGTTAAACTTCTTGCCCTTGTAAATGTATTCTCCGCATGTATTACATCGCCTGTGTCCATAGTAAGATATGTATCATGGTACAAAAAGTTCAATCCTCACATAGAGAATGGAGCCATAAGACGAACAACCTGCTGTGAGTTCTTTGGACCTCTCCTTCGAGGAATCAAGGACGGGTCAAAGTCCGGGGGGAAGTACTTATTCAATACTAACACAAAATTCAGCTCATGATTTCACTAAATGCTGAGTTCTTACCTTTACGTTCAGACATGGTGGCAGATTAAAGGAGTGTTAAGATTGTTGCGTTGACCTTGCGTTGTGGACGATGAGTAGAAACCACTTGATTACCTAATAAGAAATTTCTCTAGCGCGCGCTCTCCTGCTTGCTCACCTGCAGCGTCGTCCGCCAGTTCATTCTGTCAATCGCCGCTCACAACCACTATGCAGGTCCAATTAAATAAACAGCTAATCAGTTCTCGTCTAAAAAACGTCTATGATGGTTGGAGGGTGCGCTTTCAGCCTTCGGTGCAGGTTAGGTTGCTAATGACTGTTGTGTCATTTTTAGAATGCAAGTCAAAATGACGAGTACGGCTCCATAGCAGATGCGGAAGCCCTCTTGTTGCTGTCAGGAGACCCTGCAGGAGAGGATGAACCCGTGAGGAAAGGAACTGCCTTTCAGGTGAGCTTCATTAAAACTCCATGAATCACGTCTCTACTGTGTGGCTTACGCGCCAATCCGTGTAGACTTGGTTGCTTGGTTATGAGTTTCCTTCCACCTTGCTCCTCTTCCAGAAGGACAAGCTGCTGATATTATGCTCGGCTAGCAAAGGTATGTGTTGTATTGTCCGATGCGCGACGATCTGACATTTTCAACGCGACACGTGGGTTTGCAGCCAAGTTTTTGCACCAAATAAAAGAAGGGAATCCTCCTGTTCCAGTCGAGATACTTGTGCAAGCCAAGGCGAAGGAACCACCCAGTGGTGCACTGCCAAAATTCGTGGAAGCTTTCACATCTTTCAAACGCGTTGGGAGCTTGGTGAAGGAAGTGTGCACGGGGAAGCTGATGACGGAATGGGAGCAGGGCGTCTCGAAAGCCGACAACAAACCCGAACTGGTCGATATGGCCCCTGCCTTGTCAGCATTTATGGCTGTTAAGGACGAAGAAGAGATGGTGTGTTAACGTTTTATATCTGGGGTCAACGGTCTTCTAATGCACACTACAGAAATGCATCCGTACAGCGGCTAATCTCACTTCCACCTTACTTGTTCACCACATCGTGCTAAAACTGGAGATGATATTGGACAAGGAAGCCAAGATAACTCATGAACAATTTGCTACTCAGATAGAGGCACGACTTGGCTCGGGTGAAGGTGAAGTTGCGAAAGGACCTGATATGAAGGTGTGGAGTAAGGGGCGGGGCCTCAATGATGTACGTCGGCTGCCCTTCCGGACTCGCTTGTATATCTCATGGGTCATTCCAGGTGGACTGGGCATCGACAGAGTTCTGCTACTCTCCTATCATTCAGTCACGATCGACAGCCACCGGTTATGATCTGCGATCGACCGCAGAATCATCCTCGGATACTATCGCACACAAAGGCGTCTTCCTTATTGCCGTTGGTATGCGATACAAAGGTTACTGTGCCAATCTTGGGCGTAGTATTATTGTTGACCCCTCGAAGGTCAGTGTAGGCGATGTTCTTTTTTCACTTACCTCATTCTACCCCATAGGAACAAGAATCCATCTATAACCTACTGTTATCGATGCAGAACGAGATGTTGAGGGAAATCAAGGATGGCGTCAGTGCACGCGAGGTGTATCAACGGGCATTGGACATAGTAAAAAAGGAAAAGCCAGAGCTTGAGAAGAACTTTGTCAAGAATGCTGGGTTTGGAGTGAGTAATCCCCTGTTCCAAATGTTTCCATAAGTCTAAGACTCGTTCAGACCGGTGTCGAGTTCCGTGATTCTGCGTATTTGCTTTCTTCTAAAAACTCTAAGCGCCTGAAGACGGATATGGTTTTAAACCTATCTCTTGGCTTCTCCGACTTGCTTGATGACAATGGCAAGAAGTATGTATCACTCCTTTGGTCCATGGCAGTTTCTTTCATGTTTGCATTTCAGATACGCTCTCCACATAGTCGACACTATTCGCGTTGGCGCTGACAGATCTACTCTTTTGACTGAAGGTGCTAAATCCACCAAAGACACGCTTTTCTTCCTGAACCCGGAAAATGAAATTGAGGTGGAAGAAGATAAGCCGTCCAAACCAAATAAGAAGGCTCCTGTGAAGCCTCTGGTAAATGGTTCCCCCGTCAAGAACAAGACAGTTGGTGGAAAGGTGTTACGAAACAAGACGCGTAGCGCTGCTCAGGAGGAAGTTTTGATGACGGCAGCCGCCAAAATCAAGGAACATCAGCAACAACTGCATGAAGGTCTCCAGTCTGCCGGATTGGCGAAGTACTCCGAGAGTGCTAGCGGTGGTGGTGAAAAGGAAGGTAAAACCTGGAAACGCTTCCAAAGTTATAAGGGTGAAAGCGCGCTGCCGCGAGAAGTTGAAAGTCTCAGAGTGAGTGCATCAACTCCTATATGAAACTTTTCAGGCTAAACAATACCACCCAGATCTGCGTAGACCGCAAAGCTCAAACGATAGTGCTGCCCGTGCACGGATTCGCTGTACCTTTCCACATCAACACTATCAAGAACGTGAGCAAGAATGATGAAGGGGACTACACATATCTCCGCATCAACTTTCAGACACCTGGGCAGCTCGCCGGTAAGAAAGATGATACGGTAAGCATGGCTTCAGAGTCACGAGTGTTATTGAGTTTGACGGTATTGCCAAACAGCCTTTTGAAGACCCTGACTCTACTTTTATTCGCTCGGTTACCTATCGGTCAAATGATGGCCATCGTTTTGACACTATTTCCAAACAAATCACAGACCTGAAGAAAGAGGTTAACAAACGCGAGCAACAGAAGAAGGAAATGGCTGACGTTATCGAGCAAGATGTCCTGCTCGAGATCAAAGGTAGACGCGCGCACAAGCTTCCTGAGGTATTCGTCCGCCCTGCCCTTGACGGTAAACGGTTACCCGGCGAGGTCGAGATCCACCAGAATGGTTTGCGCTACCAGTCTCCGATGGGTTCTCAGAAAATTGGTATGATGTTACGTTTCTTGTTGGGTATCGTTAACTCGTGTGCTCCTTAGATGTTTTGTTCACGAACATTAAGCACCTCTTCTTCCAGCCTTGTGACAAGGAACTTATGGTCATTGTACACGTCCATTTGAGAGCACCTATCATGATTGGGAAGAAGAAAGCGCATGTATGTCATTCCGTTCGCAGGGCAAGACATCTTTTGACGTAGTTTTCTGCAGGATATTCAGTTCTTCCGCGAGGCTTCCGACGTTCAGTTCGACGAGACTGGCAACCGGAAGAGAAAACACAGATACGGTGATGAGGATGAAATTGAGATGGAACAACAAGAACGAAAGCGAAGACAGATGCTCAACAAGGAATTTAAGCTTTTTGCCGAGCGAATAGCCGAGGCAGCATCGACGTCTATGGGTGAAGCACTCGAAGTCGACATCCCCTTCCGTGAATTGTCGTTCGAGGGAGTGCCATTCCGCACCAACGTCCGATTGCAGCCCACAACAGAATGTCTCGTGCATCTTATTGACCCTCCATTCCTTGTTGTCACTCTCAATGAGATCGAGATTGCTTCGCTAGAACGTGTTCAATTCTCGCTCAAACAATTCGATCTGGTACTCATCTTCAAGGATTTCACCAAAGCGCCGTTACATATCAACTCGATACCAAGTGGCCAACTTGATGACGTGAAAAATTGGCTAGAGTATGCATTTTTATTGCGACCAGTAGGATATTGATACTGATGGAACGCCTATGCAGCTCGGTCGACATCCCTCTCGGTGAAGGCCCAGTCAATTTGAACTGGGGCCCTATCATGAAGACCATCAATGAGAGCCCGTATGATTTCTTCCAGCAAGGTGGCTGGCGAAGTTTCCTCGGTGGAGGTGATGCCGATGTAAGTCCTTAGCTGCATCGTCGATCATGGGACTGAACCATTGTTCACAGAGTGATGCAGATGAGGGTTCTGACAGCGAGTCTGAATTTGAGGCAGATCCTGAGGAATTACAATCTGAGGAGAGCAGCGCCGATGCTAGCGAGTATGACGGCTCAGATGCGAGCGACGACTCAGGAAGTGGTTCGGGCTATGATGACGATAGCGACGACGGTGATGACTGGGAAGAACTAGAAAGGAAAGCTGCTAAATGTACGTATACTGATATTCGCCCTTCTTTTTTAATACTTATTTGCAAAACCAGCCGATTCAAAGCGAGCCGCCGAGGCAAAGGCAACTCGTGGAGACTCCGAATCGGATGACGACCGACCTAAAAAGAAGAAAGTCGCTGCTAAACCCAAGGCGAATGGCAAAAGCAAGAAGCGGTGATCCTTGATGTGGACTTCTTATATTGTATCTGCTTGGCACTTTATTTTTTCTGTTTGCTTTTCGATTGTACCATTATTGATTTCAAGTTGAAGTGTCGATATTTGTATATAGTGATGTTCTCCGTTGAGACTCGGTACTCTGATCGAATCATTTCCCGGTTCAACTCAGTCCTCCTTATCCACCACAGGAGTTGGGTTATTAAGTCTCGCTTCTCTGAACAATAGTACGCCTGCTATAGCTGCTCCGGGGCCAAGCACCACTAAGGATAGTACGTGCCAAAGGAAGAGAAGTACCATTTCCTTTACGCCCCGCGCGAACCAGAATGTGACGAGAAGGGTCGACCCTATTCCAAAAACTGCGTCCCACTGGATGACAGCAGCGACTCCTTCGGGTAAGGATAACAAACGCTTGCTCAGTGCCAACTGTGGCACGAAGACCTTCTGGAATTGCTGGATGTCAAAGAAAAGTGGCCACGTGTAGTAGATATGGAGGACAGCAGAAGTGACGAAGATGAGGCCATACATGACTTGGATGATAGCGTAGCCGGATTCCACGTGACGGGAAGGACGAATGACGAGGTACACGAATTGAGCGAGCGCCATGATGATGGGGAACCCTTGCCATAGTGCAGTGGGTATAACATCTTGAAATACAACCATACACAGCGTCGGGATAATGTAGCCGACTATCAGAGCAAAAAGTAAAGCTTCTGCACTGCCCTGAGTGATTTTTGTTGCG